TATTTGGGGTGAATAGGAATTACTTTATAGCACCCCAAGATATCTTGTGGCTATGGTTACTATAGGTAAGACACACCTAGCCCCTGACTCTCAGGCTCCTCCCACCCTACACTATAGCCAAGAACAATGGTCTTACAGGAAATTAAAGAAATTTTAATGGTACACACATGCAATCCCAGCACTTGGGAGGCAGAGGCAGATGGATCCACAGGTCAAGGATAACTTTGGCTCCATAACACTGTCTCAAGTTTAAAAAAAAAAAAAAAAAGAGCCAAGCTGTGTCCACCCACTGCCATTTGATGACATCAGACACCTGGGTGAGAGGGCTTCAAGGCTTGGCTCTAACCCCTGTATTGCAGTTCTGGCCTCTGCCACTTACAGCTGTGTGACCAACCCTGCTGTGCCAGCTGCATCCCATAATAGCTGGTCCTTTGTCAAGTGGAATTATGAGGCCCACCTTACCGTGGAAGAAGATAGTGAGGAGGGTTATGGGGATTACATTCCTCTGCTAAGCAAGCACCCTGCAAAGCCCAGAGCTGTTGTGTCAATTCAACATGACTGAGGCTGTCTAGACATTTCTCACAGGCAGGTGCCTTGGCCTATGACAAGAAAGCACTGGGCATGAATTTGTCCAGTTGCCATATCCCACCTACAACGATGGGCTCCCTAAAACTGTTCCTGGCAAACAGTTCTTTGCTTGAAGCCATCAGATGATGTCAACTGAGAAAAGTCCCTGTAAGGGGTGAGGATAGGCCAAGACAGGAAAATGTCCCCTCTGGTCCCCTTTGTGACTTCTGGGGCTGGACGCCAGTCCTGGCCCTGCCCTGCCTGCCTATGTCACTCTCAGCCTGACACTGCCCTCCAGCCTGAAGGACACTTGGCAGAAGACACGTAGCCATTTGAAGGATCTGTGAGTGCCCAATGGCGGGGAGGAAGAAACACACAATGATGGACATCAGGAGCACGGAAAGAGGAATCCAAGGACACAGGCAGATGTAGGGCCCTGCATGCCCCCCCCCCAAGGCACCTTGAGCAAGCCTGAAGCTGTTGGCTGGAACATCTTGCCTGTTTTGCTGGGGAAAAACTAAGCCTGACAACTTACACTCTTGACCCTGGGTTGTTTTCCACTGTGCTGTGAGTCAGTATATAAGCCTGCTCCTTCCCCTCAATAAATAGCATTCCCACCTTCCTGTTACATGAATGACCCGCGCTGTCTTGTCTCTTATTTAAATCTCTAGGCCTTTGCCTGATTAGTGGAACAGATTGTAGCACAGGCGCTACAGGTAGAACCAAAGGGCATATTACTGCCGCTCTTGGGACAAGGAGAGCTGAGCCCCGGAAGCCAACGGGACCACAGGTCAAATATCACAACAGATGCCCCGCTATATCCAGCAAGGAGGAACTTGGAGAAACAAGTGTCCACAAATCTTTCTTCTACCTGAGGTTCCTGGACCCACCTGTTGGCCTAATCAAGTGGAGAATACGGGTGAAGGAGCGAGCCATGGTGTATGTGCTCAGCCTTCAGGACACAGAGCACGGTAGATGCTGACAATGGAGACTGGCTGACTGTGATGAGATGAGTGATATCCCCCAGTAATGCCCATGTCCCCATCTCCAGAGCCTGCATATGGCTTATGTGGTACCACAAACACTGTGCAGGTATGGTCAAGGCAAGAGTCCAGAGCCCAAGGTGGAGACAGTTTTCTGAGATATCCAGGTAGGCTGAGCATCATCCCAAGCATCATCATAAGAGGGCGACCAAAAGGTCAGAGGCACAGAAATGGTAACAGAGGCGGGGGACACAGAGTCTGAAAGATGTTTACCTATTGGCTTGGAAGGGGAAAAGGGACAGGAGCTAAGAAACAGATGGGGTCTCTAGAAGCTAGAAAAGGAAAGACAGAGTCTCGCAGGAGAGTCTAGAGAAATGGCTAATCATTCTAGGAATTTCTGCCCTCAGACCAAGAAGGGATGATGTGTCATTTTCAACCACTGTGTATAGTACCTTGCTATAGGAACCCACATGATTCCCACAATCACTCTCTGATCTCTGGATCTTTGTCCACTCCAGCTAGTGCACAGGTCAAACAGCAGGTGACACCTGGCCCAAATGCCCTGACTAACCTGTATTGCTTCTAAGAGGGAGGGATCATGGCTGAGGAACCCACATGGGCCCTGCCTTGGCCTCTCCGACTGTGCCCATGCAAAGGCTACCGGTAAGCAGGTTTGCCTCGTTGTGTGAGTTCTGCTTTTTTTCTCCTTTCCTTTTTAATGCATTATTCCCAGCATGCATCAGCTGCTGAGAAGCCCAGAGCAGCACAAAATGTTCAGACAGAAGTCTGAAACCTGAGTGCTCATCTAGGTTTGAGTCTGGCCACTCTCTGAGCCTGTTTCCCAGACTGTACAAAGCTGGTGGGAACTAGGCTTTCCTGAGTCCCTACTTCTTCCAGTGATTTCTTTCTATGGTTCTAAGTATCCCCCTTGGCTGTGGCCACTCTGCAGGCATCGGGGTGATCACAGGGAGCATAGAATGGCATCAGACCTCCCAGGGACCTCAGGCTGCTTGTTGTCTGTGGCCCCTTGCTGAATAGATTCTGGGAAAGGAGCCTTCTGAAGACTACCTGTGAGATAAGTTCACCTCCCAACCCCCTCATCCAGAACCTCATAGGAAACTGCTTCTAGAGCACAGAAGGAAACCAGGCCAGCACCAGAGCCCTGGGTGGATAGCTGGTTGCATCTCTGCCACTTCCACATCACAATGTCTGCACAAGTGAGCTAAGTATAAGATGCAATGGCTTCAGAACAGGACTTCCAGGGTCCCTTCATCATCTCTGGGTATCAGTAACAAAGGTCTCTCTCTCTCCAGTGTACCTCCAACTGTAGTCCTTAGGCACTCAGGGCCACAGCTTTCTTGGTTCTTGGTCTTGTAAATGTCCTAGAGCATCAGAAGGGAAGATCCCCTCCTAGGAGGGCCATACAGGACCAATCAAGGCTCCGAGATGCCTTGAGGTATTAGTCATGCTAGGGAGCTGTGAACTGTATTCTGACAAGTAAGATGGGATCCTCTCTGTCTGCATAAGGAAAAGCAATGGAGGGGACAGCACACACAGAAAGGGACAGCATGCCGAGCAATCCCATGCATGCAATCCCATCACTTGGAAAGCAGAAGCAGGATGATGCAAAGTTCCAAGCCAGCCTGGGCTACACAGGGAGACCCTGCCTCAAAAACAACACCTGGAAAAGGGGAGAGAGGGTAGAAGAAAGGAGGAAGGAAAGAAAGGAGAGAAAGAGGGGGGAATGTGAGGTGAGGAGAGAAGAGGAAAGGGGGAAGTCTAGGGCCATCATTCCTGGCCCTTCAAAAATGTCATTTGCCAGGCTCCTCATCTGCTCAGAGCCACACAGGTGCTCTGGCAATGCGCACTATCCAGGGGGCTCCTGGGGCAGCACCGCTGGAGGAGGTGGGGAAGGTCCTTCTGCCCTCCCTCCCTGCTCCACATCTCAGGAGTCCGCAGCCTTGTGACACTCCTTCCTGTGCTTCAGCAGGTCACAATGTCCCTTCCTCTGTCCTCTCCTGCCTCGGGCTCCCTCCTCGCTATGGACACAGACGGTCTAGTAGACTTAGACCCAGGTCAATTACAAATGAGCTGCCTTCTCTCCTAGGCTAGGAGAGCTGGCCCTGAGATGGCAGGAGCATCCTAATTCTGGTGGCCTGGGGATCGAAGAATTGAGGGCTGCAATGAGAGCCCCCCACTAACACAGCCACGATCACATCAAGGGTGCTCATTGCTTTTCAGATTTTCCAGCCGACCTGAGTACCAAGCACAGACCTCGTTTGTTTATTGAGCTCACCGTGGATATTAACTACAGGCATAGAGGGAAGGAAAGTATACCCCATCCTTAAGGAGAGAGGAGCACAGAGGATGCTGGCACTATCCCTCTTCCAGGAGTCCCCAGAGCCACCAAGGTCAATGACATTCTGAGGGGTTCTATGTCTAGTGACTATAAAGTGTGGGGGGGTGAGAGCGAACAGAATTAGAAATCCCAAAATACAGCTGCCAAAACTCAGGAACAGGTAGGGAGAGCCCCTTTTGTAATCAGCCTTGATATAAGATACAGCAAGAGGCTTCGGTGGGGACAGAGGGAAAAAACAAACAAACAAAAAAACCTAACAAAAATAAAACTGGGCATAATGGAGAGGGTGAGGAGAGAATCAACAAAAACTAATTTTCATGAAAACATCAATATGATAGCGAAAACTGTGAACGCTGATTAAAAATAGCTCTTCACTTGGGACTGGAGAGAAGGTTCTTGCTGCTCTTCCAGAGGACCTGAGTTTGGTTCCCAGGTAGGGCATCTCAAAACCACCTGTAACTCTAGCTTCACAGGATCACAAGCCCTCCTCTGGCTTCCTTGGGTAACCCTTACACATGTGGCACACACATAGACACACAATACACACTTTTTAAAATATTTTAATTTAAAGCAAGGTTGATTACTACACCTGAGTTAAGGAATGGGGGCTAGCATGTGCCATTTATTAATTTGGGTTTTTTTAGGGGGTGACAGATGCTTTTGATTTTCATGGGCATCTATGACTTTGATCCCACAAAAAAATGTGTGTGTGTGTCTGTCTATTTATTTGTTACTGGAGATCAAACCCAGGGCTCCAGGATTGCTAAACAAGCTCTCTACCACTGAGCTATATCCCCAGCCTTCAGAAATTAGTCTTAATATGATTCAATATGAGTATGTGCTAAAAAGTGACATCCAAGTCCTGGTTCATTGAACCAGGGGTGCTCAGGCCATATGTGCTTGTTTGTACACAGCCATAGGCTGTGGGACCTCAGGGAAGTCACTGATAGCCTCATGGCAGCCAAGTGGAGCAGTGTGAGCGCCCTCAGCCCAGAGTTTCAGCAGGCAGCTCCTACCCCACCAAACCCAACCCAGCCCAGCCACCACCACCACCGCCCCCTCACCCAACACCCAGCCCAGCCCAGCCCAGCCTAGCCCAGCATGCTCCGGCAGCGCTGCCTCTCCTCCTCCTGTTTGTCTGCCAGGCGGCTCTCCAGCTGCCTCAGTTCCCTGAGCACTGCCTTGCGCATGGAAGGCTCCAGCTCCAGCACTTTCTTGAGGTCTGCCTTGGCCTCCTCAGCATTCCACACCTCTGCGTGAGCACGTGCGCGCACATAGTAGGCCTTCACGATCCCTGCGGGGAAGAATGAGCTGCACCCACCCAGCCAGCCCCAGAGAGCTCTGACATCAGACCTCCTGATCTCGGTTTCTTCCAAGTCCTATAACCAATTTCACTTTCAGAACTCTTGTATTGTTCCCTCTGAGGACCCAAGCTTTGTCCCCATCAGACATGGTCCTTGTACCAGACCAATCTGGGTGACTGTGGGACTCAGTGTGATAAGGAACATGGAGTACTTAGCGCCAGAAGCGTGTGCTGTTATGCTTAGTGTTAGTCAAAAGCCTTCTCAAATACTGCCAGAGATTGGCTTCCAGTGTTGATTTCATATTTTTCTCTAGATTGCTGGCCTCCTTTCAAAGCCTGGCTACTACTCCCAAATTCATGGAATACATAGCCACATGCACATTTGCAAAGCCTAAAAATGAGTAAGATTTTAAAACCACCTCTCCAAAGCCAATGGTGGTGCATGCCTGTAAAGCCCAGATCTCTGAAGGCTGAGGCAGGAGGATCACAAGTTCCAAGTGAGCCTTGGCAAGATAGCCAGCCTCAGTCTGAAACAAACACCTCCCACAACAAATATCACCCACCCAGAAGCACCTACGATGCAGTTGCAGGCTTGGGGAAGTCAAATGGGTGAAGACAAGCTTCCATGCCTCACACCATGGGAAAGGGCCACTGAGGCCTTCCTTTGCAAGTGGCTGAGCCCTGGATGCCTGTATCTCCCCAACCCCCACCCCATCTTCACCACCCTCAGTCCCACTCCTACTCCATCACCCCAGCCAGGGCTGCACCTGGGTGGTGTCGTAGGATGTCGCTGGTATGCTCCAACACCTCATAGTACTCCTCCCTCTTCAGCAGGCACTGGCAGTAGTTGAGGATCAGGGTGTTGATCATTTTCTCCAGCTTCAGCCACTCAACCTCCCAAGGCTTCTCCTGCGGGGGCAGAAGCTCAGCTACCAGCTGGTTAAGGCTCATCCCAGCCCACCCAGGCAGAGATAGTTCCTGACCTTAGTCTGAAGATTCCTCAGGCACACGATGGCCTCCTGGTACTTAGTGGCAGCCTGATCATAGCGACCCAGCTTGTAGAGCCTGTTGCCTTCCCCATGCAGGAGAGGCACTGCCTGCATCTTCTCCTCATTATTCAGATTCCACGTCTCCCTCTGGTACTCATTTGGGGCCTCCACCTAGCCCAGGAAACACAGCTTAGCCAGGCGAGGACCAGGCAAGATGACCCCAGCAGCCTTCCGAAGTGGTTTGCCCTATGCCACAATGAGGCAACCACACCAGAGTCAGGCATGCTGGGTAAGACGCTGAGAACAGAGCACAGAAGCAAAAAGACCCAGCCCTGCCCTAAGCAAGCCAGTGCCTTCAGGTAAATCATGAAAAGGGTCCTTTCTAGGAAAAGTTTATTTCCAATAGTTGGAAAATTGTCATTAGTACTCACTGTGTTAGAACAAGACACTTCTATTGCCATCTGGTGGGAATTTGTCATTATAATAACACAAGCATGTAATTTCTACAAAGAGCATCTTTGCTCAACACAACTGTTCTTTTTTAGTTTTACTTCCCCATGCAGCCTTCAGGTTGAGCCTCGGCCTTGGTGATAAGCTGAGTCTGACCTGGCCTCAACCTTGAGCCTGGCTCTTTTAACTCCATGCTCTCTTACCGTGCCAGACCCAAGTCCAAACCCACAAATCATAGAAACCAAGGAAGAGGCTGCAACCCTATCTAAATCTTGCAGAAATGGAAGCAGATAACCAATTAAATAAAAATGCTTCAAAAGTTAAACCCCATTTTTCAGACATTGGTTCCAAGTGAGCTTTTTCGGGGGCAGGCGGTTTGCAACTTTCAATTCTGCTGGGGTCCCTGAGCAGCCTCTTGTTTCCTAGAGAAGCAAGTGAAGTGGGCATGGGGTTGGGGGCCTACAGGATCCCTCCTGACCTGGGCCAGCCCCTCCCACACCTGGCTCCCACCTGCAGCAGCTCAATCAGGAAGATGAGAGGCTGTGGTTCTTTCTGCAGTTCATCCAGGTCCTCGTAGCCCAGAGTATGGTACGCAAACATGTTGGCCAGCCCACACGTGTGCACATGCCAGCCTGTGGGGTCCTTGCCCTCAGCCACCTGTCGTAGACTGCGGGACAACATAGGGTAGACCCCTGTGTGCTGTAGGAGAAATGAAGGGGTAGTGTCTTATCTGTCTGTTTAGACCTATCCAGGCCACACCCAACCCGTGCTGTACCCTTCTCAATTATGCTGCCGTCCCAGGACACCCACCAGAACAACTGTATGTCACAGTGTGCCACCAACTGCTTTATAGTTGGCACCTCTAATCCTAAAGCCCATCCTGCCCAAGAGTCACTGTGAATAGCCCTGTGCTACAGATGAAGAGACAGGAGCCCAAAGAGGTTAACCAGCTTGCTCAAAGCTACACAGTCAGGCATGACACAGGCAGGACATGAACCTGCCTCCCCAAACTGTGTTTTAGCCGTGAACTGCCCCTTTATAGCCTTGTGGTCAGCACAGCACATTTCTTTCCCCTCAAGCCCAGGGCTCCCAGGGTACAGCTGTGAAAGGAGCAGGGTTCCAGATCTGAGAGAGCCATCAAATGTGACTATACTAATGTGTGTCTGGTCTGATCCAGCTGCATCCAGCATGGAGGTGGCCCTTGGGATTCACCAAGGTCCACTCCATCCTAGGTCTCAGCTTTCTGATAGGGCCTCAGAGCCCATCTCCAAAAAAGTGAAGTGGCCCAGTTCAGACTCCTACAAAAGAATTCCAGTGGAAAGGATGAATGCTGAAAGCTGAAGGTCACCCCCACTGGGCTGGATCAGCCCAAGATGCCCTGGGCTGACTCCTGCGAGGCACAGCCAGATGGCAGGTGTCTGAAGGATTAAGGCTAGAATAAGGGAGGGAACACCCACCTCCCACCAACTTGCTTTGGGGAGAAACACATTAAGGCCATTTAAGCAACACCTCAGGAAAAGGCTATAGTCTGCTAGACACCTGCCAACCTGGCAGGTCTGGTGCCCAAGCCCATGCCTAGGGTTATAGAATGACATCACGGGCAGAAGGAACCAAGGTTGAGGACAAGGCAGGTCTTCATTCTCCTAGCACCAAGTTTGAGACAGGGAAGGGTCCAGGAGCCCTCCTACCAGGTGATAGGCTGCAGGAACAGCCATTGTCACCCATGGGCTCTAGACATCTGAGCACTCAAACAATCAGAGAGTCCATCACCATGGTTTCCTCTTTGTTCTGAGGCCAGAGCCGGGTGCAGGCCAAGGCCTTGTCTGGACTGAAAGCTGCCACCTGCAGTGACACAGACTCCAACCACTGAATCCCAGCTTGAGTCCACCTGTCCTTCACAGTGTGTTGAACTTTGGAGGGGTGGGTAAGGAATCTGGTGTTTTAATTAATTGCCAGTGTTTAAACACAGAGAGAACTAGCAGAGAGTAATACAGAGCTGTCCAGAGCCCAAGTGTCCTGCCACTGCTAGCCCATCCCCTTCCATGGACTTGGAACAGCTGCCCCTGCCCATTGGGCAACCAGGGAAACAGCTGGTGTTTGTTTCTCAGGCCTCACAAGACTGAGCACCAACAACAAGCCCTAGATGAAGACAGGCCCTTGGAGGCAGACAAAGGGCCAGAAGCTCTCGCCCATCCTGCCCCTCTGTACTGGGGGAGAGAGGGAAGCATCACCTCTCCTGTTCCTGCAAAGATCTAACTTGAAGGTAACCAAGCAAGGGTAATCCAGGAAGAGTGCAGGGCAGGGATTGTCACACAACAGCTGCCTAATTAGGCCTTAATTGGACCTGAGATTCCTGGCTAGAGGCTGAGTCTGTCTAGAACTCTGATTCTTGAGTAGAGACAGCCCACAGAGAACGGGCTAACTAAATGTAGTTACACATGCACTACCTAGGCCAGGTATTTTAGTTAGGTTTCTATGGCTGTGATAAAACACCATGACCAAAAGCAACTTGAGGCAGATAGGGTTAATTTCAGCTTACAGGTCCACATCGCAGGCCATCATCAAAGTAGTCAGGGCAGGGACCTGGAGACAGGAGCGGATGCAGAAGCCATGGGGATGCTGCTTACTGGTTTGCTCCTTGTGGCTTGCTCAACCTGCTTTCTTACAGCACCCAAGAACACCAGCCACAATGGTTAGGTCCTGCCAAAACAATTATCAGTCATGCAAAGGCCCCCACAGGCTTCCTCACAGGACAGTATGGGGGGGTGTCTCCACAGTTGAGGTTCCCTCTTCCAAAATGGCTCTAGCTTGTGTCAAGTTGACACTCACTCGTGTGAGCTCTTACTCATCCTTCGAGATGCAACTCAATGTCACCTTCTTGAAGAACTTCCTCCAAGACTCTGAAGCACTTAGCTGCCCTTTTTGTGACCCCAGAGCACTCTGCCCTTGTCCTCTATGGCATGCCCTGGTTGCCTGGCACCCTATAAAGAAGAGCTAAGTGTCTTCTCTTCCAGAATTCAGTTCTTCCAGGCCTGGAGACTACCTGTATCATTCCTAACACAGAAAGGAAGAAGGAAAAAGAAAGCACAGGTAGATAAGAGGAAATGAAGTAAGATATACCATATATACATATGCTATAGATGGAGTGGTGAAAATGTGGGTTGTGGGTACTAGGGAGATGGTACATTGGAGAAAGTGATTGCTGCACCAGTGTGAGGTGGTGCATCTATAGTCCCAGCGGTCCCACAGGCAGATGATAAGCAGAGACGGAAGAATCCCTGGAAGTTCACAGGCCCATTAGCCTAGTAAACTCAGCAGTGAACAACAAGAGACTCTGTCTCTAACAAAGAGGAAGGTGAGGATGACCATCCAAGAATGCTCATGCACAGACACACAGACAGAAACAAAAACAAAAAGCCTTGATTTTTGAATGAACATTAAATTGAAACCTGGTCAGATGTATGGATGGATGAATGGAAGGATGAGCAGAGGTTGAGTGGATAAATTCATGGAGCTGGAGCTGTGGAAGGCTTACTGATAACAGACTGGACTGTGGCTGAACACTGGTTGAAGAGAAGTATGAATAAACTGATGCCTGGGTAAGTGGGTGAGTAGATAGATATATAGATGGATAAAGTATGGCTGGATAAATGGACAAGTGACTCATATGCACATACATGAAAGCTATGAGCATTGGGAAAACCAATAGTCACTATGTTCTAAAACTTACCAACCTATAAGATGCACATCATATGATTGCTGAAGTGACCAGAAGACCACAGGGTCACATGGGACAGCTCCTGGAGGGAGCAGCAGCTGGTGGCTTCGCACAACAAATCAATCAATGGATTAAGAGCATGCAGCCTAGCATGTTAGCATATATGCACCCTGAAGAGGTGTGTGAGGGGGACCTCTTGGTGGTGACAAAACCTTGTAGACATAAAGCCTGAAGCAGATACACAGGGGTCTCACAGGCTCAGGGATGCCTCACTGAAAGCAAAGGCAAGAAGGGTGGTTCTAAACCAACATAACACAGAGTAAGCCAAATGGATGAAATCGCAAACTGACAGAAACACATTTTTTTAAGTTAAAGGACATTAAGATTAAAGTAGTAACAAAGGAACTGTTGCAAAGAAAAGATGCTGGGCTCTCATATGCTGAGGAACATAAAGGACTAATGTGTTGCACGGCATCCCCTAGTGGTAGACTGTGGCACTGCAGTCTGGCTCTGTTAAAAGGCGCATGTACCCAACAAGGTTAAGATTCCCACTTGGATCCTGTTTGAACTTGTTTGAACAAGAGCAGGTTACTTCTTCTCTCAGAATAGTACTCAGAGTAAGGCTCCTCAGTAAAATGGAGGAGTTAATCTTCAACTTCCTTCTAGCTCAAAATAACAGCTTCTCCATTTAATCACCTTATGCGCACTATGACTTCTGCTCTTTGATATCGTATCCTGCGAGTCCCAAAACAGCCCCGAACATGTCATTTGTTCATTTACAGATGAGGAGACAGAGTGGCAAGAAGAGAGTCTCCCCAGGTCAGTCCGCACTAATAGAATACATCTCAAAAGCAATCTGTCTCTCTACCAAACTGCTCTCTCAAAAAGGTCATTAGCTCCCCGTGAAATAAAGAGGATCTATCCACCATCCACTGTGAAGATCCAGAGGGAGCCTTGTGATGGACAGTTCTGCCATTCAACACCTGAACTCACCCATCAATCTCAGTCTTGCATGAGATAGGCAGGCAGGGTGTGGCCCTCCTTGAGAAGTTCACAGAGCTATCCATGACTTTAAAACAAAGTCTGTGGGGTAGGACTCTGTTGCTGGGGCACTTGCCTGCCATGCACAAACCCCCGAGTTTGATCCCTAGTGCTACATAAGCCAGATGTGGTGGTACACACTTGTAGTCCTCAAACCTCGGTGGTAGAGGCAGGAGGACCAGAAGTCCAGGTCATCCTCAGCTACACAGGGAGTTCGTGGCCAGCCTGGGCTACATGAAACCTTGTACATAAAAAAAAAAAAAAAAAAAGGAGAGGAATAAGGAAGAACTAGAATCCTTTCAAACCTTTGGACAAAAAAAGCTCACTTGTCAAAAATACAAGAAGTAAAGGAACATGTCAGACAATTACATTCAGAAGCAACCAGCAGTATCCAAACGGGCATCTCTCTGGAACTGCTAACTCAGTTCCCTCTATGTCCCAAAGGGGCCAGGAGACCCAGGGAGAAAGGAGACACAGAGCCACGCTGGTAAAGCCTAACACACTGGCTTTGCTTGGGTCCTGCCTGAACACATAAATGCCACTCATTTATAAAGAATAAGTGAGTGTTGGAGGGATGGCTCGGCATTTAAGGGCATTTGTTGTTCTTTCAGAGAGTGGAGTTCAGTTCCCAGTATGCATGCCAGGCAGCTCACAACCATCCGCAACTGCAACTCCAGCTCAGGGCGTGGCGGGGGGCGGGGGGCGGGGGGTGGGGGTGGGGGTGTCCAACACCTGCTTCTGTACTCTTTGGGCACCTGCACTCATGTGAACAGATCCACACAGATACACAAATGCACAAGCACACTTTAAAATAAAAATAAAGTTTTTAAAAGGGAATAAACAAGATGGTCAGAGAATTCCTGTGTCAGGCAACTAGAGAACATGAAGGGGGTGTTTGGGTTTTCTGAAGATTTAATAATGTGTTTTCCAAATGTCCAGTGGTTTTAGAATCACAAAAATCTAGTGTTCCCAGACGAATTGCCACAATGTCTGGAATTTGCCCATGGGAGATGAGAAAGGAAAGTCCCCTGGAGGGAAGAGGACACAAGACAGAGTGGTGGGTTTGAAAGTTTCTCTAAGAAACACTTGTCTCTCCAAAGCAAAGATCAAGAAGTCATAAAGATGGAACTGAGTCACAGAGTTGGTAGAAATGGGGGAGGACAAAAGAGCCCAGTGGCCACCAAATCTCCAGGATCTGCAATGCGGAGCAAAAGGGAAGGACCAGGGAGGCCCCCTCCTCCCAAGCAAGGCCATGTGCTCTCAAAGCCCTCCAGCCAACCACTCGCCCCATGTCATTCCTAGGCCTGCTTTGTCTGAAGGGCTGGGCACCATGCTTGTAAAGGCAGAGAAATGGGTATTCAGGGTATACCTACAGAGGCTTGTTTTGCCCTAACTTTCCTGAACCTTGACAGTTCTGGGAAGAGTGGGGGTGGGGAGGGCCATGGGGGAAAGAGCCATGGGGCCTACTTACAATGGTGTCGCACCAGAACTCAGCAACTTCACCAAGACGCATGGATGTCAGCAGCGCCTCCCACACCTCCAGCTTGAACATGTTGCCAATGATGATGCTCATGGGTTGGCCCACCTGCCTGCTGTCATCAATCACTGTGTGTTCCTCATCACACTTCATGGTTCGGAAATGAAAGGTCACCTAGTTCCCAGAACAGAGGGCCCTGAATTCCAGTGGCAGCCACCCAATCACCACAGGCTCCTAGGGCTGTCCTCTCTGTCAGTTCACCCACACCTGACAAACTAAGGTGCCTCGGGCACATACCCCAATACCTGCAAGTCCTCACAAGGAACTCATTCCTTTCCAGCATACTCCATGCCCATTTATCACAGCCCAGCATCAAGAATTCCTTCCCCAATATATTCAAATGTTCATCCACACCTGGAGACCCATCAAACACAAGGGGACAAACGTCACAACTCCTGAGATTCCCTCCTACTCACTTGACATTTTGGAGCTCTGGAAAATTCCCCCAAATCCCTCCTTTTAGCCCACACTAAAGTTACCCTGAAAACTATTTTTAAAAAGTCTGAGCCTGATTATAAACTCCAAAGCAGGCAGCCTAGGTGGGCAATTCAAGAAAAGACCTGCCTGGCTGGATTAGGGAAGAGCCAAAAGCTATTTGCGATACCCTGGGGGAAGGATACTCACTCTGGAGCCAGTGATAAATTTAGGGAGTTCTCCTATTCCCCCGTGCAGAATGGTCTTCTTGACGCCCTCCACATTGAGGAGTAGAGAGACATCCATGCTGCAGGTATGGGAGAGGCTTGCACAGGCCTAGATAATCCTACCAAAGCAGGGATCAGTCCTGTGGCTGACCTGTGGTTAGAGGCCAGTGCGGGAATAGATAATCCCAACAGAGGAGAGGACAGTTAAGCAGCTGACACACACGGAGGACTTCCCGGCAGGGAGGGGGAGTCAGAAGGAAGGTATGTCTTCGGCCACTACAAACTCGTGGACTGCCATGTTACTCGGGATTCCTCAGTAGACCCAAATCCCCTGTCTGACACCCACAATGACTACATCAGGCTTTACTTTGGTTCCAACTCAACAAAAGAGGTCAGAGGATGTTTCTGTGAGGAGCAAGTGGAGAAGGAAGGCAGCAGGAGAGGCCTGGGGCCATCCGAGGAGGAAAGTAGTGGAGGCCAGAAGTAACCATTGCCCCTCCTGTGCCTGCAGTGCTGAGCTTGCCCAGCCTCTGTCTCTTAAAACTTCTATAGTCCTCCAGGGAGCTGGGAGAAGCGGACAGAGGGCAGCCCCTGGGTTCTGGCTTTAAAGTAACTAAGAAAGGTCAGAACAGTTCTGGGGGAAATTAAGGTGTTCCTAGCACTGAGCTTCTGCCTTCACTCTGACTGGACCTCAGTCTTAGGTCCTGTGAGGCAAAGCTTATTAAGAACCCCAGGGGCCCCTTTGGGGGGTCTAGAAGAAAAAAAAAAAAAATTAATGTGAAGGCTTGGTGTTTGGCGCCACCTTGTGGCCATCTTAAATTCTCATGCTTCTCTCCAGTCTTAAAGCCGATAAAAGAGCACACAAAACCAGTCTCTTGTGGATGTTGACTTGTGACCAAGAAAGACAACACTGACCTCGCCACAGTCACAGACATTATAACTTGGCTAGGAGCTTTCTACATCAAAGTTAATGTCCTTGTAGCCTTGGGTGTCTCCCACTCCACCCTTCCTCGATCCCCTTCTCCAGGAAAGCCAGGGTCTAGGGCTCCCTATATCCAGCATCCTCAAAAGTCTTGATTTCCATGAAGACTCCTTGCCTTAAAGGACCACAAACCTAGGCCAACTGTCCAGATACAGAGTATGAAACTTGGAATTCTAGAAAGCACCAGCTGCCCAACTCAGGGTTGCTTCCATCCCAGTCTTGGGGAGCAGGTAAGACTGAAGGTGTAGAGGCTTTTCCTCTTCTCTTCCATCTTTCTCCAGCCACCCGGCATCCTAGAGGGGCATGTGTGCTGAGGGGATAGAACAGATAGTCAAATGTGATTGCCATGACCATGAAGTGGGCCGAGAACATAGGCCAGGGCCAGGCACTGACTCCGAGCTCCCTGCAGTATTCTCCCCTGACATGGAGGATGACCCTGCGTGTTGCTTTATAATGACTCCTCATTATAGTACACTTTCTCCTTGGGACATTTCCCTATCCTGATCAAATGCACAATGGGAGAAAGGGACTTGGTCATGCTCCATTTCACACTTGACACTGCTGCTGTTTCCACATCTTCCTTTGCAGAGAGTCAAAAGACAAGCAGCAAAGGGAAGAGGCAAGGACATTCTAGGGTGCAGGCTTCGTTGCTGATGTGGATGCCCCATCGTCTACTCAGGCCAGTCTCCAATCTGTTCAAAGCCTTAATTGGACTACAGTCCTGGTCACATGCTCCTCTCTTCAAAACCAGCTGACTTCCCACCCCAGACCTATTCTAAGCTCCTGCCCTAACCTGGGCCTTTGCTCCTGCCCACCCCATCCCACCCCAGGCCATACCCTCTGCTTCTCTCTGCCTTAGTCCAGTCAGTCCTGGAATGTGGAAAGCTCTCTGACGTCACTCTCCACCCAGCGACTCAGCTAGAATGTCACATATTTGGGAGTCACCCAACCTCCAACCCCAGTAAGGTCCCTGTGCCCCCTTCACTTCCCATGGCCCCTGGCTCCTCATGTCCATAGCATTCAGCACATAGTTTTTCCTATGAGATGTGATAAATTCAGGGGTGGAGATAACTTGTGAAAGCTTTGGGCTGGAGAGGAAGCTGTGAGACAGGGGACTGCTGAAGCATTCCTCCTCTACCTCCCTCCTCAGCGGGGAGGGGGGAGTGAGGGGTGGGGGAGGGGGAGCTGAGCCCCACTTGTGCTATTTGCTACGTTGTCATCCTCCAATGGAGCAGGAGACCCCCGCACCCACCCACCACTCATCAAAGAGCTTCGCCTGTGTGGAGCCACCCCACCCCCAGCCTCTCTCCGTGCAAGGCTGAAGGGAGCAGCTTCCCATTCAGAAGAAAATACTTCTTCTGCCTTCTTTCGTTGCCATGGAGACTTCCCTTCATTAACCTGGTCTGCCAGTTGTGGCAAAAGGGGTGAGAGCTGCCAGCATTGAGAATACTCACTACACACATGCATGCATGCACGCACTCCAGATGCTCAGCAAGGATGTGTGACCCAAAGACAGGAACACAGAGCTTGAAGGCAGAGACCCAGGATCTGGCCCGTCTGAATCTCCAGCTTCGTCGTCGGTAATGAGAATAAAAATAGACCCGACTTCCTAGAGCTGCATCGAGAACTAAGAAGGAAGCATGTAGATACACTTAGCTGAGTGTCTGACACGTGGTACGGGCTCAGAAAATATAAGCTATTATTATGAATGCCTTGACATGCCAGGCGCTGGGGCAGGTGCTGGGGAGATAAATGTGGCGAAACACTATTCGAGAGACCCACTTCCCAGTGTTCCATCTTCACTGAGACATTCCCTCGCTTCCGACTCTGCCTTCTTAGGAACCACATCTCTCTCTCCCTCCTTCATTGCATGTATGTTTGTGGTCACAAACACAAGTGGCATAAGCAGGTTGAGATTCCTGGTAAACAGTCCCATGGAGGAGAGGCTGGAGGACAAAGGCAACAAGCGCACCACAGCCTATATCCATTGCTCACTGGGGTGCAATAAAGCCTCTCGGCACATCAGGAAGTCACAAGCCATGTTCTGAAGAGTTATGTGGGATTGCATATGTGTGTGTCAGCTTTCTTACCAAGAGTGGCCTTGAACATGGTATGCCTTGTGCAAAAATCACAAACACACACTGGCAAAGACATGTGCCTACAAACACATAAATGCAAGCTTATGCCTCAGCCAGCTCATTCCCTGGATCTCAGGTTTAGATAACTTGTGGTTAGTTCTCTGCCTGATTACTGGAGATTAGATGTAGAACTACTCATCTCTCTAGACATGCTGAACTTGAGTCCCATGGAAGTAAGAAATTGACATTCTCAGCCTATTTTTAGAAGAGTTTAATAAGTCACAAGTTCCCACTTATTAGATTAGAGAGACCTTTAAGGGGGGGTGGGAAAACCAGGGTGACTCCAACATGGGTGTGTTGGCTCTAGGTAACCAGCAGGAGGTGATAGGACCCAGGAGACTGCTGGTTTCAAGAGTCAGGGGAGAGATCCAGGCTGGGGAAGGGGATGTGAGGGCTGAGGAGCAGCAGTGAGGGAGATCAACCTTGGTCCACAGAGACCCTGCTCCTGCGTAGATGGCATCTGGATCCTTCAACCTGCTGCACATTCGCACTGAGTGAAATTTGGCCAGCCTAAACTCTCTACCAGCGCCACCTTGTAGAGCAGTGTGGCACTGGGAGTAAAATGGGTTCATGAAAATGCTATATACAAATCAATCCTCATATGGGGTTTGGGAGGTGAGCATAGAGGCTCGGGGAGGGAGTCAGACAATCCAGACACCAAGAAGAGGGCTCTCTAGGGGTCATACCCCAGGCTTAGGCAAGGACAGGAAGGGAGAGGAGTGGCAATGCTTCTTGGAGAAGCAGGTAAGAGGGCCACATTGTGTGGGCACCTTGATCTCAGTACTGGGGAGGCTGAGCCAGGAACGTGGCCAGTAAGAGCCCATCAGAAAACAGAAGGGATGGAGAAACAGAGGGGGGAGGGGGAGAGAGACAGGAAAGAAGACAGGGAAGGAGGGAGGGAGGGAGGGAGGGAGGGAGGGAGGGAGGGAGGGAAAAGAGGACAGGAGAGATAGCTCCGCCCTTAAAAGCTCTATTGCTCTTGCAGAGTTTAATTACAGGCACCCACATGGCGTGCCTCACAACCACCTCTAACTCCAGCTCCAGAGGATTTGACTTCCTTTCCAGCCTCACACCCCCACCGGGACCCTGCAAGCATCTCATCCACGAATCCACACCGAGACGCATAATTAAAAACAAAAATAAAATCTTAAAAATGAAAAAAAGCAAAACAACAAAAATAAAAACTGGTACACAGGAGAAAGCAAACCAGGCTGTTTTGTTGTTGTGTTGTTGTTGTTGTGTTGTTGTTGTTGTTGTTGTAAGCTTGCTGGGAGACTAAGGGAAAGATGGAAAGATGTCTGGGGCAAGATCAGGCAGAGGACCTGATGTAACGGGTGGAGAGAACGGTCTGCAGTCTGTCCCCTCCTCTGAGAAATGCTTTCTTGGGCGCCAGCCGGGTGGTGAATTTGAGGAACTGACAGGGGCAGGGCGGTCTCTCAGGAAGGAAGAGGATCAGGCGGGGAATTTGAAACAAAACTTTCCAGGGAACGCAGAGCTCAGCAGTCTCAGCCTAATGTTCTGACAAAACTACTGGATGCGAGAAGTTAGGTGGGGAGAAGAAAGGGGTGCCTTGAGTGGCCCTGACCTGCGCTCTCGCAGCTCTCGCAGCATCCCGCAGAGCAGCCTGACCGCAGGATCTGGGGACAAAGCGCGACCACCCCAAACCAAGCAACTGGGAGATGGCAAGGCGGCTGGGCGGTGACAGCGGTCGGACGGACCCTTTGCAACGATCCAGTCGAGGGTCCCCAGCGATGTACGGGCGTGGTCCGGCCAATCCCAAAGCACAATTTATGGTCGCGAGAGAAACAGACCAATCGGAACTCAGGGGCGGTGGTGGCAGAGGGCTCATAGGGCCAATGGGATGCGAGGACCAGGCTGGGGCGGGGCCGCGCGGAGTTTCAAATCTACTGAGGTGGGCGAGGAGCGGGTGTTGATCTTCGGATCCCGGGTATCAGGCAGGGAGGTGAGCGCGCGGGGACATCGACTTGGGGAGGGGGGTCTCACGGGCAATTCCGAGAGGGGATCGGGCCAGGAACTCTGGGCAGGACTCGTAACACAAAGGGGATGTCTGGAAATTTAAAGCATCCTGTCGGATTCGAGGCTTTGGCGGGGTGGCCAGGGTCTGCTCCGGAGAGGAGCACAAATTTGTGAAAAACCTCTTGCTGATGATACTTGCATAAGCGCCGAGGCTTGGTAACCTACGTGCCTCTCCGCTGAGCCTCAGTGAAGGAGGTTGGGATGGAAAGAAAGACAATTTGCCACCTTGCAGTTGAGGCAGCTGCTGACCATGGCGCCTTCCATGGTCATCTTTCTGGCATCCACAATTGCGCAACAGGTCTGCCCCGAGAGGTTCCATTTCATCTCTTCCCCAGTTCCCAGGGTCTTTGACGCCTGGGAATAGGGCCAGGAAGTACTCTGGTGACCTTTTGACCTCCTCAGGATCTGGAGAGCAGAGGAGACTGGACCAAGCACATGGCGTCTCAGTGGCAGGGCATGAAGGCCTCCACGCGCAGACGATCACTCCTAAAAGAGGAACATCTAGAGAAGGCAGTGACCCGGTCTGTTGAGGGCCATCTGGAGACCGGTCCCCTGGGCTCTCTGTGCAAACAGTTCCAGAGGAGGCTGCCACTGAGAGCCGTCAGCCTCAACCTCGGGACTGGCCCCTCCTGGAAACGCCTGGAAACCCCAGAGCCAGAGCAGCAGGGTCTTCAGGCTGCAGCTCGTTCAGCCAAAAGCGCCCTGGGTGCTATGTCCCAGGTAACAATGATACCACTAGCCATCTGTTTACAGAAGTGGGCTATCCTCAGGGAGGATAGAGTCAGTGGGGTCTTGGAGTTTGATTGGGTCCTTGCAATTTCCCCCAGCACCCCCCCAGTCATTCTGGCACATAATAGTTTCCCAACAAATCAGTGAGTGAGTGAGAAACCTCATGGAAGAAGTTGATGCTCTCCATGCAAGGTAACCTGCTGTGCCCTATGATAGGAAACTGCAGGAAATGGCTAACATAAAGAGATGTCAGTCTCAAGCTTAGTGGATAAAGACTCCCTAGAATAAAGACTTCAGAGACAACTCAGGAAAGGGGAGGTATACGGAGGCACAGGACCAGGAGGATGGTGTGAGTCCAGCCTGGATGCTGAAGTGTGAGGACTAAGTCACAGTGATTGGGGGGGATGCTGTGTGATGACCCCTGTCTAAATTCTCCCAGTCAGACTGTTTAATACACCTTGGCTGTCAGCTACTTGGTAGGAAAAGGCAGAGGAGCTGGGCTTGCAGAAGGGTAGAACTTTTCAAGTGGTTCAGAAGGCAGATTTGAGGGGTGGTGTTTGGGTGCTGTGTGCCCAGGAGCAGACATATTTTTAAATACTTATTCAAATGTTTGTGTTTATTTATGGGAGGAGAATTCGTGTGGTGGTATTCATCTGGAGGTCAGAGGACAAAGTGCAGGAGTAGGCTGTCTCCTTCCACCCCGTGGATTCTGGAGCTCAAACTTGAGTTTTATGTTTGGTAGCAGGAACCGCTACCTGATGCGCTATCTCACTGACCCCCACATAGGTCTTTAAACCTGGAGCAGATGTGGGCAGATGTCCCCTGGAAAGGAAAGAAACTATGAAAATGAACAGACCTCCAATGAAGGAAGGGGGTGGGCATCTTGCTGGGCATTCTGATGGTGTGGAGAGAGAGCAGTCTCTCCTGGCAGTGCCACAGAGAGGCCTCCTAGCCAAAGTCTAGCTCTGACTTGGAAGAGCCCTAAGATCGCTTTCAACTACTATAGCTCAGAACAATGAAATGTGACATCTTGTCTAAGGTCTCCCAACTCATCAAACTTACCTTGGGCCTTGCTCCAACCTCTGGGCCCTGATTTGCCAAGACAAAAGCAATCTAAGCAGATCCAAAGGTTGGGACTCAGACCTATAGATTGAGGAGCCATAGAAGGGGTTAGAGCAATTGAGTGTTATGATCAGAACTGTCACTGAAGGATCTGTGTGGACTAAGATGGAGGAGGGAAGAGAAGGAAGAGAGCAGAGTGGGATGGCAGGTGATCCAGGAGTCAGGAAACTGAACCCCCTCACTGGCTGGGTTAGTCTCTTCCAGGGGCGTAGAGGTGGAGCCATCTTCTTGCTGCTCCCTGCTGTGTCCCTGCTCTGAGTTTCTGGGAAGGTCTTGTAGGAGAGTACATTTCACTGGGAATCATACTGTCACTCTTGAAACTAACAACAGACTGTTTGTGGGACAGACCCTAAGTTAGAGGGATAGCGAAAGGCTGGCAGCCCACCTTCGTCCTGTCTGTGCTAACCTTCCCATGTGAACCCATCACAGAGGATCCAGCTGTCCTGTCAAAGTGGCACCAAGTGGCTGATGGAAACACAGGTGAAAGTGAGAAGAAAGCGAGGCACCCAGAAGGACAGAGGGTCCCCACCTTGTCCGAGCCAGAAGAACACTCGGCTATGCAGGGCCAACCGGGATGCGGGGGGACATCCTCGCCTCTCTGGCCAGATGGGTCCACATGCCCATCGACGTCAGCGGCTAAGGAGGGAGGCTGCCCTCCGGAGCCCCTGTTCCTCCACAGAACCTCTCTGCTCTCCCAGGCAAGTAGTCTCTGAGCCCAGTGTGCTTGCCCTTTCTGTCCCACAAGTCTCCTCAGTGCTACCTGGGGTGAGGATACCCTGACTGTCACATCCTTGTTCTGGCCCAAGTCTGCCCCAGAGCTGGTGAGGACCTGAAGGGGGGAAAGAAACCTCTCCAGGCCTGTTTCCTTACCTGTGATAGGGATAAGAGATGAGTCCCACTCCATTCTAGATAGGAGACCAGGGCACAGGTGCAAGGCCAACAGCAGCCCTCATCTGACTGCAGAATAGTTTCCCATGGCTCGGTCACACAGGCTTGCATGTCACGTGCCACAGTGAGGCTCTAGTGAGGCTTTCCCAGTCACCCAGGGTTGCCTGAACCCTGCTCAGAGTCTTGCTAACCCCTGCATCCTCTTGTGTTCAGTGAGTCTGACAGTGACCTAGAGCCTGTGGGGGCTGGAATCCAGCATCTCCAGAAGCTGTCACAAAAGCTGGACAAAGCCATCAAGGCTGAAGAGAGGTGAGCTGCATCCTGGGGCCAGGGTAAAGTGGCCATGGGCCCCTTGAGCCATACTGTATTTCTAGAGAGGGTGCTAGTTCCAGCACCGATCTGCCACATGACCAAGACCCGTCCCTGTCCCTCTGTGCTTCAGTCTTCTGGGATGATGGTGAAAGATGCACCATGAGTCCACCGGGCCTTGACCTCTCACCTTTTTGCCCATCACATTGAATTTCACATGTGGCTGGGTGGGTACCTGCTTCCTGAGAGACCTTCCCTTCCTCCAATACCTTTCATGGCTCCTTTATTCCCTGTCTACCCATGGACTTGGCAAAAGCAACATGGTTGCCATGGAATCCCTGGTCTATCTGCTCAGGATTCCAACCTGGAGGCAGAGCCTTTGAAAACTGTTTTCCCATTTGTATAATAACCACAAAGGGTTCTGAGGCCATATGACCCCTGTGGCCATGTTCCCACTGTGCTTCAGGGTTCTGGTCCTGTCTAGTCTGGGCTGGGATGCCTTCAAAACATGAAGCATCCCAGGTCATCAGTCCCTCCCCTTCTCTATCCTTAGTGGTGACATGACTGTCTCCCTTATTCGTGAGTGAGGACAGCAAGCATCCTACAGGTAATGTCCCCTCCCTCTTTCTCAGTCTCCTCCTCCTCTCTCAACTCCTCCTTCTATGCATATAAATATTCATGTACACTTGCAAGAGTGCTAAAGAAGTGAATGGATTGAGAAAACTACAGAGTAGGAAGTATATGGGTTGTCTACTTCCCTCAGCCCAAGCTGCTACCCTTTCTGATCACATCAGAACCCTGGGATTTCAAAGGACTGGAAGCCACCCTCCAGCCTTTTGATTTGGAGAGGAGGACTATAGCTTCCTCCATCCTCTGCCTTGAGAATAGGGAGAAGCACAATGGGAGCTCTGTCTTACAGGAAACAGGCCACCACGATGTCCATGCCACCCACCCCATGAACTTCCAGGAGGAGGCATTAGGCTCATCAGCATCCCCAGACCACTGCTAACAAGGACTTGACTAACATAGGATCCAGAATCCTTCTATTTCAGCAATATCTGGACCCATTGGCAACCACTGGCCACAGCCCAAGAGCGATTCAGGAAGACCTTGAAGAGGTGATGGGGACCGTCCATGCTGTCCCAGGGGAGTCATACTCACCCTGCTCTCCAGCCTTACAGTGGCCCATCCATATTAGGAATGTACCAGAAGGTACTAGACAGTTCTGAGCTGTGTCACTAGGACCAAAGCCCTGCAGGAGTCATGCCATGAAACCATCCCCTTTATTCCCAGTGTAGAGACTCTTGGAGGCCCACTTTTACCCCTGCTCCCACAGGGCCCCACAGAAAGAGAGGAGATATTTGTAGACTGTGTAAACCTGAGCTCTTGGGGCTTATTTATCAGCTCAGTGTGGGGCACTGTGGGCATGCAGGGAAGAGAACACTGTTCAAGAGCAGTTTCTCCTCTTTGTAAATTATTTAAGAAATCTGCTATGTCATTTTATTAGAAAGATACCAGAGTGTCAGTCTCCCAGATCACATTGCTTTTTTATAATAAAAGTTTGCTTTTGGCACTCTGCATTTTTTTTTTAATGCACATACTCTGACACCACACTGCATGACACACCATAAGTCTGGAGCTCAGCTTTGTGACCCCTGTCCCCTCAGCTCCTGATCTTCTCTCGGAGAGAACCAGAGTAAAAGAAAATGGCTCAGTGGTTAAGAGCACTGACTGCTCTTCCAGAGGACCTGGGTTCAATTCCCAGCACCCATATGACAGTTCACAACTGTAACTCCAGTTCAGGTGGACCCGACACCCATGACCAAACACCAATGCACATAAAATAAAAGTAAGTAAATTAAAGAAAAACTTTTTCAACTTAGCCCAAAATGAAACACATGTTAAAGGCAAATAAGGTTTTTATTTAAGTGACAACGTTTCAGAGTTAAAAACAGCTCACATCAAAATCAAGACCAATTGTAAAAATCTTTTAACTCCATAATGCTGTTTTTGTCTTGTTAGAAATTGGATATTTTACATTCTCTTTTCTAACGGATTTTGTACAAGGCAGCCATGAGGACTATAATGAGCCTCTAGCACAGAACCAGCCATCACAGAGAGTACTGGAAGTTACACACTGGGACAGGCAGACCACAGACAAGGTCAGACTGGCTGCCACCACTGAGTAAACAGAAAAGAACAGTGGGTCTGGGTCTGAGGGGGCATGTCCCACACTAGCCACTGTGCCTACAGTGCTCCTTGGTGTACCCCACCTCTCCTGTGCCACCACAGGGTGGAGTCAAGTTCTGATTTTCTTTCCAACCTCCCTGTTAGTTTCCCAGCAAGGTCAGAGCTCAACAGGGCTTTGCTACTTGTACTCAATACTTAACTTGGGTGTATAAGAAACTCCTCCCTAGCCCAGAAGGGAAAGAAAGTGGGATTTTTTTTTTTTTTTTAATTTCCAGAGCACTTGGAATGGAACCCCCAAGGGATTCCACTGGAAAGTGGTTGTTTAAGGCGGGGTCCTACAGTCAGGGTGCCCCTCCCGGATGGGGCTTCACCTGAGCTGGATGGAGAGTATGCCTGCAAAAGTGGCACCTCCTCCAGACCTGGATGCACTGGTCTGGCAGGGTCCATTCCTCAGTGAAAAATAGATAGATAGGTGCCATGTTTTGTCTGCAGGATACTTCTGGGGCACAGCTCTGGGCTGCAAAGTGCCCCAAGTACAGTTTAAAAACCATTAGGTACAGCCTTCCCTCCTTCAGAGAACCACCCCAATCTCAGGAATACTGAGGTTCGGATACGTTGTTGTAGCCCAGCACCCAGGCAGGAAGGCCGTTCGTCTGAATGCATGAAAATAATTTATTTTTTAAAAAATACGTTGTGATGCTTCGGGGAAGGGTCAATCTTTGGGGGGTGAGGGGCATGAGGGCTGAAAGAGCAGACTCCAGCGACCCACAACAGGACTAGGGATAAAGAAAGGTGTCAGGCATCCCTCAGCCAGGTCAGGACAGCCACCACATGGGAAGAACAAACATGCCACTCAGATACGGGAACTTTGGTCAAGCAGGAACATGTTTCCAGCAGCTGGAGAGCAGGCACACCAGGAGCTAGAGGTTGCTAGAAATCAGCTGGACGGGGTGTCACAGAACTACTGGAGGAGGCAACAGCGCCCTCCTCTGGAGAACACTAGGAATCAGCTCCTTTTGTCTCTGACCTAACTGAACACAGCACTATAAGAAAGCACACATGGAGTACAGTTGCCAGGAAGCAATACTGAGCTGTTCACTCACCAGAGCAGCGAGTGCATACTTCACCCGCGCCGGCCACAGCTCCTAGGGTGGAAGTCACAACACCTGTACACCAGCGGCATCTCAAAAGGGGTCACCCAAGCCCCAATGTGGGGCTCGAGCAAAAGAGAGTGGGGCCTCTGGCTGGCTCTGACCCACAGAGCCCTGTCACTGGCTCCAATCTCCCCGGGGTCCCCCACTCACACATACACTCAGCCTGGGGTTCTCGGGTAAGGAAGAAGCGTTTATCATTTGAAAGTCAGCCTCGGTGGCTCCTGTTGAGAGGAGACATAGGACTGTGAGAGAATCTATCGGTATATCCAAGCTCAAATCACAGCATTCAGGGGAGAGGACTGCAACTCAGGTGGCTGTACCATATGAGCTGGTGACAAAAGATAGGCAAGAATGATGTGGGTGGGGCATGGATTTCTAGAAGGAATGGTGGGGGGTCAGGGATGAACTTCTAGGAGGCGGGTCCGAACGGGAAGCTAAAGCTGGTCCCATACCTCCTTGCCCTCTCTGCAGGCCCCTGGCAGTGATGAGCGCAGTTTGCCCCAATGCAGTGCTGATAGTGCAGGGGAGGAGCTGGCAGATAGGATGGCATGGGATGGGCAGAGGGAGCAGGAGCTGGCAGGCTGGAGAAGACATTTGAGTGGAAATAACAGGGTGGGTACTGGGAGCCCACACCCCCTCCAACCCAAGAGAGGCACCCAGTTTGCTGGGCGACTCAAAACATGATGCCAGCCACCCCCATCAGCAGCCACCACAGGCTGCATGGGAGCTACAAGAGGTAGACATTGAACAGAAGCGACACTGAGCTGACAAGTGCCTGCTGTGTACACAGGTATTTGGCTCTGGCCTCAGTGGCAGCCGAGGGGTTCTAAGACACCCAGGTGGCCATACAACAGGTACCAGCCTAGGTCAGGGAGCAAGGGCAGACTATGCCAAGGCCAGGGTCTTGACAGCAAAGACACATCCCCTGCCACCCTAAGAGGTCTGACTACCCCTAGGCTCAAACCAAACTGAGTAGGCAGGGAAGGGAAGAGAATACAACAGCTTGAGCCAAAAATATTCCATGAACCTCCAGAACCCGAGATCTCAGCTCTTATGCATTCCAGAAACCTAGAATGAAAAAGTCAGTTCGAGCAGAGCTATGGAAGAGGCAGCCATGATGTCCCCTTTGTTGGTGGAAGGAAAAGGTTTCTGTTTCCCTCCCTCAGTGTACACAAACCAGCATATTCTCCAGAAAGTAGTACCTTCCTTCCTCTGAGGTCTGGGCTCCCTTTCAGCTGCACCTCAGAATCTCTCTCCCAGGGTGGGGAGGGATGGGATGAGGAGGAGGCTCACTGGGCCTTCTGCAAAGCCCCAGAGAGCAGAAATGCTGGACAGCCTAAGAGTCAAACCCAGGACCCATCTCAGCCAGGAGGCCCCTTCTAGTTACAGAAAAAAGCAGGGCCCAGAAATGATATGCTACAGACTCAAGGGCACACAGCCAGACCAACTCAGGCCAGGGTCCATGGCTGTAGCCCCTCAGGGAAATGCACAAGACAAGACTCAAGGAAGAGGGACATCTGTCTTCAAGGGCCACAGGAGAATAAAGATACTGAGAACAAGAAGGGGAACAAAGGACAGCTGCAAGACAGACAGTCAGCACCAGACCCGGTCCCCAGGGTTGTGGACAGACTCCACATACATAGATTGAACCCAGGGAATGTCCTCTCCCATAAAGTGATCCCACTGTGTCACAAGACAGCCAGCCCCAGAGTGGGGCCCCAGATATCACAAGGAGGGCAGGTGCAAATGCCACTCACTCCTCTACACACAGTCAAGTTGCTGCACCTGCAAGCTGCTAGGGACAAACACTTGTCCGGCCATGTGCCCAGCGCTAGGGCCTTTTCTGGTTTGAGCCTGCCTAGTGCGACTACAGAAACCTTGGGACTTGAAAAGATGGCCGGCTTTACCCAAACACTGGGTACAGGCAGGCTTGGCCCAAGGGTCACACTCACACATCACTCCTGACTCCGGCTTGTGGGCACAGGCATGGGGAAATAAATTTCACCCTATCGCAGCCCAGAGAGCTAGCTCCCCAATGTCAGGGCAAGGTCCCTCCCTGCTCTGGTCGGACACTGCTGGACAGACACGGGAGGGAAAAAGCAGGAAAACGCCTGTGTCAGGGAGAAGGCAACCCTTCCCTTCCCTGCAGGCTGACTAGCTGCCCCCACTGTTCTGAGCACCGCCTACCCCTCAGGGCACCGACTCGAACTTGGGGGGTCCACGCGCCCAGCTGAGCGCAGGCAGTGGCCGCTCGTGGTCCTTGTCGGACTCGGGCTGGCTCTGTGCCCGCTCGGGCTTAGGGTTGGGGGCCGGTGGGTCCGGCTGCTGCACCGACATGGTCCTGCGCAGGTGGTTGCGCTTGCGCAGAAACTCCGGCTGCGCATGCAACCCGAAGCTGCCCTTGCGCAGGATCATGCGTGAGTTATTCTTCTTGGGGCGCGAGCGGTGACTGGCCTCCAGTGCCGCCAGGTGTGCAGCATAGCCTTCACTCAGGAACTGTGGAGGGGACAAGCATCAGGCTAGCACCTGACCCTACCCCCCAATATCGCCACTTCCAAGAGAGTCTGTAACTTCTCTGGGACCCCAAAAGCAGCAGCAGGAGGCCCACTACAGTTTTAGGGTTCCCGTGGGTCACCGAGTATCTCTGTCTGTACCCCTGCTCTCTGATACAACCCCAGGCTCTTTCTGACTGTCCCTCATCGCCCTCCCCACCCCTTCCCGAAGGCCAGCTTTGTCCTGGAGTCTAGGTTTGCAGCTCATCTCCAGGGCCCCATCATTCTGTCATTCAGAATGGCACTTGCTCTGCTACAAACACTCATTGCCTTTTCTCCTTCCCCTAGATGCAGGGTTCTCCCCTGAGTCCAGCAGGGAGCCTGGCCCAAGGCATTGCTCCACAGAGATAAATGAATGAGCAAATGAAAGGATGAGCAAGGAACTAAATGATTAGGAGCTGCCCTCGACTCCTTTCCCTGGCCCTCACACACCTGGCACTGGGTTTGGTACTTCTTGGTGGGCCGGCCCACAATGAAGATCTGGGATGCAGGGAGGCCCAGCACACTGTAGACAGAGATGTCTTTCGTGGAGCCGTAGGCAGCAGTGATTTTGATGAAGCACTGAAACACAAAGCAAGCTGGTGAAGAGGAAGGCCTAAGGAAAGCCTTCTGGGGAAACCTTTCATCTACACTCAGACACCAAACCATCAGTCCACCTTTGCTAGGAGCCACGCCCCAGATGAATGCCCCTCACCTCCCCAGTGCCTCGAATTAGATCTAAGGTGGGGCTCTATGGCTCTACCAGGGAATGGCTACATTACTTACTGACACCACTCAGTTCCAAACCCCCACACCCACCTACCGACCCTCCCATCCCACAGTGGGGCCAAGTGTCCCTTTGAGGATAAGGGAGTTAAGTTCCAGGATTATGCTTTATGGACCCTAAACTGGAGGCAAGCTCTGGGCCGGCCATGTGCCCCCTGCCTCCCGATAGCTAGTCTGTTGAGAGCCCCAGAAGTCCAGACCTAACTTAGAGATTTGCCCTCTTTGTCCTGAGGGTGCTTTCTTTCAGCCAATTGCCTTAGTCTCTCGCCTACCCAACTGGTGGTGCTCACTGCTCAACTATTCTCACTGTGTGTCTCCTATCGGTGTCACCCTTTGTCCTACCATGTTCACTGGGCGTGTGCTGGCTAATTTTATGTCAGTTGACACAGGCTAGAGTTATCTGAAAGGAGGGAACCTCAACTGAGAAAACGCATCCATAAGATCTGGCCGCAGGGCAGTTTTTAAAATAGTGATGGATGGGATAGGCCCAGCCCATTGTGGGTAGCACCATCCCTAGGCTGGTGGTTGTAGGTTCTGTAAGAAAAGAGGCTGAATAAGCCATGAGGAGCAAGCCAGTAAGTAGCACTCCTCCGTGGTCTTTGCATTAGCCTCTGCCAGCAGGTTCTCACACTGTTCAAGTTCCTGTCCCAACTTCCTTAATGATGAACTATGGCGTGGTAGTGTAAGCAGAATAAACCCTTTCCTCCCAACTTGCTTTTGGTCGTGGTGTTTCATCACAGCAACAGTAACCTTAACTAGGACAAGGGACTTAAGTCTGAGCTGCAGTTTCTGTCATTTTAAATGCACTGTCATTCCAGTGATGTCAGCTATGTGTCAGCTATGATTCAAATATGAAGTGTAGCCTATAGGCACACGTGCAGTAAGCCTGGTCTCTACTTGGTAACGCCACTGAGAGGTGACTAGTTGACATGCGCTAATTCCATCAATGAGGTTGATCCACTGATGAGCTCATAGCTGAATGGACTTAGGTAAGGAATCAGTGGAGGAAGCTTTCCTATTTTTACCTCTACTATATTTTACCCCCACCTCCAGCAATGGAGCTAGCAGAGTACAGACTGACACCTCTGAAACCATGGCCCCCAAAGCCTTTCCTCCCTCAAGGCGACTTCTCGGGTTTCTGTCACAGGACAGAAAGAAAGGTGATGAACAGACTGTTCACAGGCAGAACGTGCTGTCTCCCACCCTTACAACCTGCTCCGGGTTGAGACCCACGTTCACTCTGCATTCCATCTCTTTATCTCCTGGGCCTCCAGAGGTGTCCTTTTCTCACCAAGGTTATCCAGTGGCTAGGCTTCAGCTATCGGGCAGCTGTCACTGTCCCATTTCACAAGAATGGGTCTGCTGTTTGAAATCCTCCCTGTCCTGGCCCTCTGCCTCTCCAACTGTTCTCGCTGTTCTCAGAAACACAGCACAGCTTCACCTGGCTCCAACCATTCCTGGGTGGTGCCTTGCCCCCACCCCCCACCCCCACCCCCCACCCCCACCCCAGCTCCACTGACTCATATCCAGGGCTTCAGCCTCTGCCTGCAACCCAGGCTACTGCCCTGATCCATGTGCTGGGACTCACATGGCTCATGATCCATGGTCCTATCAGCCTCCTCATGTTCAAGTCTGACCTCATCTTCTCCCTGCCTGGTCCTCCTCCTGCATCCCTTCTCATTTCATCCATTTATTCATTTACATATTCATTCTACCAACACTTATTGAGCACCTACTGTGTGTCATCATTACCCCAGATCCTGGAGATACATCTCGAATAACACAAATAAACCCAATGGCATCTTGATCTCTCCTGGTCATGAATAGAACGACTGAGAGGTCCTTGCTCATAATCAACCATTCCCAAGTCTGACAACGCCACCTACTGAGTCTCCTGACTGTGCATGCTTTTCTCCCCATCCCATAGTTACTGTCTGAATTCTAGTCTTCTGTCTCTTGCTGGAGTAACAGGCTCCTAACTACCCTCCCTCCTCTACTTTGCCAGTGTGTTCTCCAGTGAGCTGCCAGAGGGATCCTTCTACAACCCAAATTAGATTCTGTTACTGCCCTAATCCAAACTCCCCCCATTGCTCCACACTGCCCTCAGAGTCCAAGATTTTGATATGGTTTCTAAACCTACCAAGCTTGGGGTCCCTCATGACCTCCAGGGTCTCAACTCCCACCTGTCCTTGATCTGACCCTGCCTGCAATACCCCCATCCTGTATTCCTTCAGCTCTGAGAACACCCCAAGCTACTTCTCACCCCTGCACCTTTGCATTCAGTGAAAGTTTTCAGAATCATAATGGAATCACTTGGGTCAACTCCATCAAAAAACACCGAGCCAAGATATTATGAAAGAGGTATTCACACCCATAATGGCCTGTCAACCTTACAAAAGCCTGCAGTGGCCAGGCATGGTGGTACATGCCCCCAATCCCAGCACATGGGAGGTAGAAGCAGATGAATCTTTGTGAGTTTGAGGCCAGCCTGGTTTACATCGGGAGCCCCAGGCAAGTCAGAGTTACACCGTGAGACCTGGTCTAAAATAAAAAAATTGACTTTGAAGAAGGGGGACAACAATCTCACCCAAGCGATACTTCTCCAAGAACATTTGCTCAGCACCTGCCCATTCACCCTCAGACTGAGGTCGGCATTGTTATTACTTGTTATGGCCAAACAATATTGTCTTAGCATATATTTTGTCATCCTCTTCCATTATTGCCTTTAAAAATCTCCCTTGCCTCAACCTCTTTCAGTAGCCCCACAAACCACTATGGTACATGTATCCCTCCCACAGAGCTATTTCCAAATAAAGCTTGGTTTCACTTCCATCCTAAGCTCTTTGTATTTCCCCAGGCCCAGCACAGGCCGTTTCATTGTCTACCTGACAACTATACTCATATGTCAAGACTAAGCCCAGAAGTTATTACCTACTAGAATCCGCTCGGGCTTTCCCAGGCGAACCTAAGTCCTTGCTCCTCTGTTTGCCAATATTGCCCCTTTTCTGCCACACATCAGTAATTGTCTATTTACATGCCTTTCTTTCTCTAGATCAGCGATTGGCAGACGTTTTTCTTCAAAAAGCCAAATAGTAAATATTTTAGGCTTTGCGCTCTGCCCGGCAACTCGACTGGGCTCTTTCACTGTGTGGTAAAGGCAGCCACAGACAATACATAAACAAATGAGCTTGGCTCGGTGCCAATAAAACTTTATTTATGGACACTGAAATTTGAACTCATGTAATTTTCATTTGTCTACTCCTGCTTTCTATCTGTGAGTCAGTCTCTCTCTCTTTTTCTTTCTTCTCTCCTCTCCTCTCTTCCCTTCACCCCCACGCCCACTCCCAATCCTATAGGGGCTTTGCACAAAGGTGTCCCAGTCTCCTCCCAGAGTTTCTGCTGCCTGACTGAACCTAGGATTTTTTTTTTTTTTTTTTTTTTTTTTGGATTTCTAGGTGTGGCTAGAGAATCACAGCTCTAGGCAACAGATTCAGGAAAGTAGGCTAGAAACGCCAGCACCTTGCAGGGAGGAACATAACAAAGCCTAAAAGGTCTCAATAGGCACTGCAATATCTATTGAAGAAATAACCAGATGTAGAGATAAGAATTTAGGCCTTGGAGTCAGGAGAAGTGTCAATAAAGATAAGACCTGACTCCTAGGTCTGTTAAGACTTCCCAGGGAGAGCCATGCTGCCAACAAAATGTGCTTCCCTTCCCTACACCTGCAGAGGATCCCTATGCCCACTTTGGGATTGAAAAGGGGAAGAGAGTGGACAGGGTCCAGAGTTAACTCCCTGCTGCCGCCCAGGCCCCGCCTTTTGCGTGGGTGTGGCCACAGTCCCGCCCCAGGCCCACACTCACCTCCTGCATGAGGTTGCGAAGGAAGATGGCCTTCTGCCTCAGCGGGTCATGTACCAGTCCATCGGAGAAGAAGATCATGCCCTGTGGGAAGTTGTGCTGGGACAGCCACGACACTACCCGCTGCTTCTGCATGTCCGGCCGTCCCGTGATGTACAGGATCATGTAGCCCAGGTCCTGCCAGTGCCTGGTGAGATGGCATTGCTGGGTCCGGCTGGGCCCCTGCAGGCCACGTTGCCCAAGTACCTGCCCTGACTGCTGCTGCCCTTGGGAGAAGCCAGCGATAGTAGTAAGGGTGCTCTTAAGTCCTCGCTCACGGTGGGTGATTGGTGTACATTACCCGCAGATGGCCCATAAGGACTGGTCTCATCTGGTTCCTCGCCTTTACCTCTCCTGCTTCTACCTTCTCCACTAACAAGAGAGCTTCCAATACTCCCAGACCAGAGGCTTTAGTGCTGGTCCTTAGTCCCACCCCATCTTTCCCATGGATCAGTACAAAAGTGGTTTGTGGTCACTTTCCCTCTGGTTCTCCCACTTAGATCTGACTTTGTGTAAATTTGAACTTCTCTCTCTCTCTCTCTCTCTCTCTCTCTCTCTCTCTCTCTCTCTCTCTCTCTCTCTCTCTGTGTCTGTCTCTCTCTCTCTCTGTCTCTGTCTCTCTCTCTCTCTCTCTCTCTCTCTCTCACACACACACACACACACACACACACACACACACACACAGAGAGGCCCATTTAGTTTCCCTATCTGTAAAATGGAAGTGATCATCCAAACACCCCATGGGGTTATTCCAAGGGTAAAGGCATTAACCGCAAACTCGACTGGCATAGTCTGCCTGGCTGATTGGCTTCATTATCATCCTTGACTGTTTCATGGCAATTTCTATAAACCACAAACCCAACCCCCTTGCTTCCTTTCCTGAAACCATGCCCGGCTCCCTAGTGCTGAGGTAATATTTCAAGGTTTCCCTCTGTTCTTGGGCTCTGCCCTGCTGAGTGGAATCTCCCTATCCACATAGGACTGCTCTGACATCCATGTACAAACCTTGTGCTCCTGGCTTAGGACCTGCCTCTAGACAGCCTGCCTGTCTACATTTTCATCCTTCAGGACCCCTCTTCTAGGAAATTCTCCTGAGTTTCCAGGTAAAACCATTTCTTTACCCTGTTTTCTATGGGTGGCTCAAGGTACAGATGAGCCCAGACCTGGGTAGGTATTTTTGTTGTACTAGCCACCAATTGGCCACCATAGATTGGGCTTTCTAAAGCCAGATGGTGATCTGTCCATCTGAGAAAAAGGGAAGATGTACAGTACAGGTGTTACAGGGATGCTGGGAGCTCCCAGAGGGACCCCGGGGCAGCTGGGGTCTGTGAGCTCCCAGAGGGACCCCCGGGCAGCTGGGGTCTGTTCTGAGAGCTCCCAGAGGGACCCCCGGGCAGCTGGGGTCTGTTCTGAGAGCTCCCAGAGGGACCCCCGGGCAGCTGGGGTCTGTTCTGACAGTTCCCAGAGGGACCCCTGGGCAGGTGGGGTCTGTGAGCTCCCAGAGGGACCCCCAGGCAGGTGGAGTCTGTCCTGAGAGCTCCCAGAAGGACCCCCGGGCAGCTGGGGTCTGTTCTGAGAGCTCCCAGAGGGACCCCCGGGCAGCTGGGGTCTGTTCTGACAGTTCCCAGAGGGACCCCCGGGCAGGTGGGGTCTGTTCTGACAGTTCCCAGAAGGACCCCCAGGCAGGTGGAGTCTGTCCTGAGAGCTCCCAGAAGGACCCCCGGGCAGCTGGGGTCTGTTCTGAGAGCTCCCAGAGGGACCCCCGGGCAGGTGGGGTCTGTTCTGACAGTTCCCAGAGGGACCCCCGGGCAGGTGGAGTCTGTCCTGAGAGCTCCCAGAAGGACCCCCGGGCAGCTGGGGTCTGTTCTGAGAGCTCCCAGAGGGACCCCGGGCAGCTGGGGTCTGTTCTGAGAGCTCCCAGAGGGACCCCGGGCAGGTGGGGTCTGAGAGCTCCCAGAGGGACCCCCGGGCAGCTGGGGTCTGTTCTGACAGCTCCCAGAGGGACCCCCGGGCAGCTGGGGTCTGTTCTGAGAGCTCCCAGAGGGACCCCCGGGCAGGTGGGGTCTGTTCTGACAGTTCCCAGAGGGACCCCCAGGCAGGTGGAGTCTGTCCTGAGAGCTCCCAGAAGGACCCCCGGGCAGCTGGGGTCTGTTCTGAGAGCTCCCAGAGGGACCCCCGGGCAGCTGGGGTCTGTTCTGAGAGCTCCCAGAGGGACCCCGGGCAGGTGGGGTCTGAGAGCTCCCAGAGGGACCCCCGGGCAGCTGGGGTCTGTTCTGACAGCTCCCAGAGGGACCCCCGGGCAGCTGGGGTCTGTTCTGAGAGCTCCCAGAGGGACCCCGGGCAGGTGGGGTCTGAGAGCTCCCAGAGGGACCCCCGGGCAGCTGGGGTCTGTTCTGACAGCTCCCAGAGGGACCCCCGGGCAGCTGGGGTCTGTTCTGACAGCTCCCAGAGGGACCCCCGGGCAGGTGGGGTCTGTGCTAGACTCATAGAAAGTAGCTGCTGGCAACTAGTAAGGTGAGGCAGCATAGCTTGGTGGCAGAGGGGGGAAGAGGCACAGGAGAGACCACTGCTCTCTGCTGTGAGATAAACCCGCCATCCCTCCCAGCAGCTATGCAGGGCCTCGCCTCCAGAGTCCCCTGAAGTCAGCCCAGCTTCTCTCCCCAAGCAAGGCAGAGCAGTCCCTATCCCAGCTGCCATGAACTCCCAGTCCCCCTGTCCATTCTTGGGGTCTAAGCCTCTATTGTCACCAATGACTACTTCTCATCCCTGGTTTATTTTCCGCCACTGATCTCAGAGTCTCCCACCAACAGCAATCTTTACAGCAGAGCCCAAACCACAGCCTGGTCTGGAGCTGACCAGGAAGGTGGATGTGTGTGAAAGGATGCCCAGGAGAAGAGGAGGGAGAAACAAATGAATGAGCTAAAGTCTACAAAAGGGCTTGGTCTCTGCAAAGACTCTCAGTGAATGACTACTGGAGGTGAAGCCAGAACTTTGCAGTGCCTAGGCCCAGAGACCCACAGAAGTCCCAGAGAAAGCTGGGGGGGGGGGAGACTAATGCACTGGCTCCTGCCCCGGGGAGAAACCTTCTGTAAGAGAGGTAACACTCACCGAACAACATCCACTGCACCTGGCCGAACCTTGGGGTCACTTCCCATGATAGACACACTGGCTGCAAAGGATCCGTCAATGCTGAACACAACACACTCCATGCCCCGGGGCAATACCGTGAGGTAGCTCATCGCACAGGTCTGGTCACCCCTGAAAGGTATAAGCTTGAGGTCAGCCTGCAGCTGAAATCAGTCAATCTGGGGCCAGGTTCTGGGTGGTGGTGCCTCCTGATACCATGGCTGGTGGTAGCCTCTTCCCTTTTCCTCTCTCCGTGTAAACAGAACCGTGTAAACAGAAATAAATTCTATCTTCCAGCCAAACCTAGATGGGAAAGCCACCCCAAAAGTTCACCATGAGAACCTCACACACATTGGCCCTACCTGACCACCATCTTTATAGGATAGACACCAACACCCAGGCGCCGAGGCCTGGGCACATTGTAGGTTATCCTGCCGCTGTTGTTGGTGATCTCTGTGTCCAGGTGGACCCAGCGGCCTGACGATGGCTCTGTCATCACCAGGATGTCCACCTGCAGCCAGTGAAAGAAGCAAGGTATCTGCTGAAGGCTGAATGACTTCATGCTTGACAGCCAAAACAACAGAGCCCTGGGCACAGGTTCCTGCCTTCTGTATCCTAGAGTTTCCTACAACTCTCCCTCCATGTGGCGGCCACACTGGCTTCCCCACCTCTTTGGAGATATCAAGTTCCCCTTATCCCTCCTTGACCTATTGGGCAAGGAAAGCGCTCCCTGTTTTGGGCTCCAGCACTTTTGCTCCTATCCACCCTTTCTGCCTTGCAGTACTATGAGTCATGTGGGGGCAGGTGAGCAAGGAGATGCTCAACCCTTGGTACCTTCTCTCCAGTCAGAGCCACCATGTCAAGAGGGCCATACATGAAGCGCCCCACCAGGACCTGGGGGCCATCTTCAGCAGCAATTACATCATTGGCACGGTGGTTTGCAGTAACATTCTGCAAGGACAAAAAGAAACAACACAGCTCAGCCTTTGCAGACAAAGATCACTATTAAAGGATGGCTTCTGGGCTGTGGCCCAGCTAAGTCAGGCGTCCCATGAGCTGCCTGCACTATGGTTCCAGAAACAGACTGTGAGTTACCAAACCTGCTTCTCAGGCTGCCTACTGAGATACAGCTCATGCTCTTGAGTCTGCACACCTCCTGAAGCAACAACTGCCCTCTACAACCTATCACTCATTTTCAGATTCCTGGACTGGAAACTACCCAGTCACTGATGGGTCTTTCTTGTGCATAAACAGCCATTTACCAACTGTCTTTTTTAATGGAAATTTTCAAATACACAAGAATAGGAAGAATAATATAGACAAGCTTGTGAGCCTAACCAGAGCACAGACACTCATCAGCTGACTGCTGCCCAGGTCTCCTTTTCCTGAAGCCTCAGCCCCACACAGAATACTCAAGGCAATGTTGTGGGTGGTGATTCATTTCCTCCCTCAATATCTCAGTGCCCTTGTCTTTCAGTTCTGCCCCATGCATTCTGCAGCTCCAAGTTCTGTGTTTTCCCCCAACTGTCCACCACTCCCAGGCTGACCCTTGTTCCTCAATCTGGTTATCTTTTTACTCTATACTGGTCAAGTCTCTGTGTGTGCCGTGCCCACAACTGTCCCATTCAGGCTCTAAGAGAAGTTTCCTATTGGATCTCTGTATTTCAGGGCTGGCTCCTAACAGATCTTCTGTCTTTACAAGGCACAGACTTGGGCAGCATCCCACACCTTCCACTGAAGTTCAAACATGAATATGGCACACCAAGCCTTGCAGAAGACCCTCTGGATTCTGCTTTCCTGGAGCCCCTCCTCCACCCTCTTGTCCTGACATCCCTTTGTTTCAAACTTTGACCTATCTCCTAGCAACAGACTCGACTCCATCCCACAGTTCTTATTGGCTCCCCAAAGATGTGCTCTCTACCTCCTCTCAGCTTGTGAAGCTATGTGATTCAGCCTCACCCCACCAAAAAACAAACAAACAAAGTCTCTGCAGAACTCATTGACACCAACCAGTCCTGAGAGAAACCTGTCACAGGACCTGCCTGACATGGGATTGGAGAGTCCTTTATGGGCTCACTGTGGAGAATGGATGGGTACTTGGAAACAAGCACATGCAATGGGCAATCAGCCACAGTGGGGATAATCACACACTAAGATATCCAGAGTCAGAGAGACAGACAATAAGGGATGCTGTGAGGAGGATGTGCCAAAATCAGAACCCCCAGACACTGCTGGTAGGACTAAAATGGGGAAGCCACCATGGAAAGCAGAAGGGTAGCTCCTCAAGAGATTTAAGTGTGGAATTACCACTTCCCAACTATACCCAATGAAGATGAAAATATGTGCCCACACAAACTGCGTAGATGAATATATAAAGCAGTAATATTATTCAAAATAGCTAACAGGTAGAAGCAACCCAAATGCCTATCAACTGACAACTGGATGAACAGAATATATGGATACAGAAGAATAGTATGCAGTCATTAAAAGGAGACAAGTTGATACATGTCACAACGTGAGTGAACTCTGGAAGCATGCTACGTGAAAGAGGGAAGACACAAACACATAGGTGCCTTCATTTGCATGAAATCCCAAGAATAGTTGAGTCCAGACAGCAGAGACCAACAACAGAATCAAGAATAGGTGAGTCTACAGAGACCAACACTAGACTACTGGCTGGCTACTCAGGGAGGAACCAGGACCAGCGGGGAAGGGAATAGGGCTGCAGGGAAAGGGGTTTCCTTTATGAGGTGACAAAAAATGTTATAAAACTGACTGTGATGAGGGGTTAGCACACAACCATGAGTAGACTAAATAAAATACATTAGATTTGACACTGCAAATGGCTGGATTATGTGACAGGTGCATTAAATCATACGTATGTCCGTCCGTGCACAAAAAGGTTGATTCATGAAGCATTTAGTCACTCTGCCTTTCAGAAGAACTGTTTGTGGGATCCATGCTTGATGTTCTTTCTCACTAGCGTGAAACTGCTCACCAGAGCAACATTGTATATTCTGGGGTGATGCATACCATCCCAGCAGAGGGGCTGAGGCAGCACAGGCGGTGGCAGCAGTTCACTGAGAGAATAAAGGAATGAATGCCCCCCAAACTCCTCTTTATCCCCCCAACACTCTACAGAGGAGCCTCCTCTTTAGAGAAGCTTAGAGTGATCCACCCTGGCAATCCTAGCCGTCTTCATCCTGATGTGTACATCCTGTTGTGATCCCTACTCAATGGGTGAGAGACCTGGAGCACAGGCAAGATCATCCATGTCATTCCACAACTGCCCTGCCTTTACCATCCCCAGAGCTCTGGACCTCTGGGTGCAACCAGACCCTGGAAAACCCACTCACATCTGCTCCCTCATACAGGCACTCCGCCCAGCTGCAGTGGAGACAAGGTCTACCAGGAAACCAAAGTTCTTATCTGGCACATGGTTGCCCAGACTCCGGAGGTCACCTGCCCAACAAACACAATTGGAGCAAGCTCTTACCCGCAACTTGACCTGGGTCCGCTTGCGCAGCCACTTCTCACGGGGGTTAGTGGGGCTCAGAGCCGTGGGGTCCAGGCCAGTGTTCTCCTTCACACTTGCGCTCTCATACCGCATCACCTAGCCAAAAAGGAGAAGGGGCTTGGCAGCATGTTCTCAACACTTCTGCCTCCCCGGACAGTAGCCAGCCAAGCCCTGCTTCTGGCCTCCCTAGGACATCGCCTGGACCCTGCTGGGGCTAAGGGAGCTATCTCTCTTCCTACCTGTCTGGACAGCTGGTGCCAGAGAACTGTCCTGTTGGTAGTTCTGCTTTGGGAGCAGCCTCTGACCTTCATGCCTGAATCTTGTTTGTTCTCTGCCTTCCCTCCTATATTGCAGGTGACCTTTGCCTAAGGCCAGCTGGAGCCCTGACTCAACCCTGTCCCCTTCTCAAGGCCATTGCTTCAGCAGCACTCCCTTCTCCGGTCTAGACCTTTTCTGCTGATTCATTCTCTTCAACATCCCAAAATGCCTACCACCGCTCATCTCATATAAAAATGTGCTCTCCTCCCTAAGAGAGACATACATGGATTCGCCTAGGAAGGGGAAAAAGACAAGCTCTCCTGAGTAAATCGGAAGCATGAGGGGTAGGGGGAAAATGAAAGTGGGGAGGGGAGAGGGGAGGGGAGCAAGGGGGATGTATAACTCAATAAAAACAAGGAAAAACATCCTCTCATTGGAGACCCTCATGCCTTTTCCAGGGCACCAACTTCTCCATGAGCCTTCTGCATTCCATCTCCATTTCCTCCTCCCCTCTGTCTACCCTCAACACCTGGCCCCAGCACTCCACTGAAGTCACTTTACTATGTCCCTGGAACTTCCATCACACCTGTCTACATGTTCCAGGTTCTCCTCCAACCTATGAGGATGCCCTCTTCCACCCCCTGAGATGGGTCTTCCCTGGGTCCCTGGGGAGTTCTAGACTTGTCACTGAACTGCCTTCTGTGGTTACCTCATAGGTATCCTTATGAGTCTTCAAGAACAGCCAAGGTCTGATGAAGGCCACCTTTTCATCTCCTGCCCTGATAATTTCTTCAGGCTCCAAACTCACTACTCCCAAGTGTCTCACTGCCCAGAAGCACAGCCTTGACTCCCCCAGCCCAGCCCAGCCCAGCTCTGCCAAAGTCCTAGGAAATTGTTCCCATGGTTACTCAATAGGAAGACAGGGCTACTTAGCTGGCCCTGTCCCTCAGTTCAGACCTTAGTAAGTACTGTCACTAGCATCTGTATGTCACTACCCCTTGGTGCCTAGTCCAAGCTTTCATGTCCTGGTGGGCTCTCATACAATCTCTGCTTCCCAGGGACTCTAAGCCTCCTCTCTTGGACCCCCTAACAACAGCCCCAAAGCTTCCTTCTCAAAGCATGGTCAGGTGATAGGTAACTCTCCCTTGCTTGCATCTGTGTCATACTCAGGTGAATCCACACCAGACCTTCAGAGCTGCCCCCAACTCTACGTCTTCCTACCTCCAGGTTCTGGCCTTCCTGCCATTCCTTTTTAAAAACAAAGACACTGAGAATCAAAGAGACCGCGCATGCGTTTCTCCAGCCTCCGTTTTTGACACTCTGCAGGTTCTACTTAATTTTCAACAGAGTCTTGAGTGAGCCCCTTCTCTGGCCTGTCACTTTCTCTTGGCATCAGTTCCCCAGTGCTTTCTCAGCACTGTCAGAGAGAGGCCAACCACTCCATATGTCCTCAGGAGAATCCTGGGATTCCCTAGAGAGGCCAACAGGCTGGGCCCGATAAGGGAGCCACAGTACCTGTCTCAAGATGAAGGCGACCACATCGGTAGACTCCCAGTAGCTGGCGTGGAAGAGGTGGGGCAGGGCCACAGTGGGGAAGGCGGTGAGGACATCGGGGCAGTACAGGGCATAGTCAATCCTCTTGGTTCCCCACCACTTGGCTGTGACTGTGGGGCCAAGAGGGAGATGAGGACAGAACGGCCAGCAGGCATGACTCAGTGGCGATGTGCCAACACACTTGGGGCCTCAGCGCCTGCCCTGAATGAGCTGGTTGGGAGGAGGACTCCTGTCCTTTCACCAGCCCTTCTAATCACCATCCACTAAGACATGGGCTTCCAGCTATTCACAAGGAGGAAGACCAGGCCCTTAGAGACACTCATAGCTGTACCCCACAGTGCAGCTCCATAGTAATTTCCCAGGAGCTCTCTCCAAGGTGAAAAATCAGCCTATGCCTGCAGAGGCCAGGGCATGATCAGGAGGTTATAGGGTCAAAGATCAACACTATGTCTGAGGTCAAAATTCAGTAGTCTGTGGTCAGGGGTCAAAGTTCCATTCAAAATCAGAACCCAGACTTAAAGGTTGACAATGAGGCTTAGCTGTCACTGTTGGCCTAGCATGTGACTCGGGCTTAATACCCAAGGGTGGGAGGAAGCATAGCTCTAGTGGTACATTTGGGGCTCTATCCTGGATCAGAGCTTAGTCACCACCTCCAAACCCCCTTTTCTAAAAGACAGGAATGTCGTCATGGCTTCTTTCACAGCTCCTCCCAACCCAAGAGCCTGCCCACAGTGGCCCTGCTGAAGATCCACCACCACCCAGGGAAGGCCCCACAAATGCAGGCTGGGCCCCAAAAGGACCTCACTCACTGCGGGAGGCTCCCATAGGTGCCAGGCTGTCTGAAGACTCTGAACTGTCACTGTGGGAGCTGCCTTCACTTAGTCTCCGTTCTGGGCGCTGGAATCTTGGGGCCTGAGGGGGCGAGGCAGGGGCATCCAGAAGCGGGGGGCTTCCCCTGGAGCTGCCCTCCAGGAATAGGGGGCTGTGGGTGTGCAGGGCATCAGCTGGAGGGGGAATTGCAAGGTCAGGGCAAGCATTGAGTCTCCAACAGACTGGCTTACTTAGTGCCAGCCCTATGCTGGGCAAGAGACTGGAAATGCAGAGAAGCCAGCCCAGGCCTGGCAGGCCACCAGTACTCTCAATCCCTACCCTCTCCCCCCACCCCACACACACACCAGCATAGCACATTGTTAAGTTTCACCTCTTGTTAAACTGAGTAGTACAGACATAAGTGGAGATCTCAACATCACCCTATCTCCCAAAAGCTACAGGGAAGCCTGAGGCCTAGCTGAGGTCATGATGTGATGCTTAACAATGCCCTCTCTCCTCAAATTCCTGCCATGACCCATAGAAGCTTATGGTTGAGGCGAAAGTACAAGCTGGGGTCATGGGGGAAGAGACCTCTAAGACTGGAGGAGTCTCCTTTTTGGAGGGAACATTCAAGGTAGCAGAAGGGAGCTTTAGGGCCTTGCTTCCTCATGGAAGTCCTAGACAAATATATCCCTTTGAGATGAAGAACAAGGAAGGATAGGTTTTAACCCTGAAACAAATCGCAGGTATAGCATCCTCTCATCCTTGGCCCAAACCTCTGAAAAGGATTAGTTTAGAGTTCCTCAATGGCGATATGGAGCTATGGAGCCAAGACTCTGACTGCCAAGTGCCTGGCTGTCCACTCCTGGCCATATCCTCAGTCACATATTACCCCCTTTGAACCTAGAAGCCACTGGTCTTTCTCTAAACCCAATGCCTCTGTACCTATCCAAATGTACCCCTCCTCCAGGCCCTGGCCAAAGGCCACCCCTTCCATAAAACCTACCAGGATGACATACTCCCTGATGTATCTTTGCAGGGTATGGGGTGGGTACCGGGAAACAGCACTGGGAATGTACCTCTAACTTGCCCTTCAGGATCAACAACCCACTGCTTTTCCAGTCTTAGTCATAGAGGCTCAAATAGGAGCCTGCCAAGGTGAAGTGAGCAGAGCCCTGGCACCAACATGCCTGGCACAAGCAGGTCGTTGGCATAAGCAGCTACTATAGAGCACTGAAGCCAGCTGGCTTCCTGCCACTCACTCCTCTAACAGCACAGCCCTGCTCCCGTGAGCCGCCCCATAGTTGACAGCTTGAGAGGCTAAGCCAGAAAGAACATTCCCAGAGCCTACCAGCCTCCAACTCAGCACAGTCTCACAGCCCCAGGACCTACCAAGCAGCAGAGACTGTCCATCGCCCAGGGGGAACCTCTGGTAGCGAGGCACGCTGACAGGCGGCACCAGGTGGAACTTGGGCTCCAGCAGTGGCTCAAGACGTGAGGCGGAGGGATCGGCACAGTGGAAGAAGCTGTAGACCTGGCTACAGGCAGGACGCATCTGAAAACCTGGGTGAGTGGGAAGAAGACACATGCAGAAGTCCCTTTCTAATGGCTCTAAAGGGGCCCTGGAATGCAGCCTTGAGTAGCCCTCTCTCCTGCTCAGACACATGCAAAGCCCCTTTCTACTGGCTCTAAAAGGCTCCTGGAATTCGGCCTTGAGTAGCCCTCTCTCCTGTTCAAGAACCTCCCCTGGGTCCTTGCTACCAATCTTAGTGAGGGTTTCTATTGCTTTGATAAAACACCACGACTAAAAGCAACTTGGGGAGGAAATGGGTTTATTTCATCTTACAACTGTCGGGTCACACTCCATCACTGGGGGAGGTCAGGGCAGGAACTCAAGATGGAACCTGGAGGCAGGAACTGAAGCAGAAGCCATGGAGGAGTGCTGCTTACTGCCTTTCTCAGTTTGTGTTCTTATACACCCCAGCCCCCCCCCCAGGGACAGGACCACCCACAGTGAGCAGGGCCCTTCCACATCAATCATCAGCTATAAAAAGGTCACCCACAGTCTTGCCTACAGGCTGAGACTATGGAGACACCTCCTCAATTGTGGTTCTCTCCTCTCAGATGGGTCTAGCTTGTGTCAGTTTGACAGGAAACTAGCCACCACACTATCCAGGACTTGCCAATCTGCCCCACCTAGGGACACTGTTATAGGTATCCAGCACTGCCACCCTGGGGAACATCTTATCTGTAAGCTTGCTGCTTTCCTTTCTCTGTGTTCCAACAACCCTTTCTTCAGAACATCAGGCCTTCCCTTTACTGTTCACACTGGGATACTTCTCTCAGTCCCTCTAACTGCCACTCAGTCACTACCTGATCTATTAAGCCAATGCAAGTAAGTCCCTTCCGTCATGTCAGTGACCCCTTGATCCAGTGCTCTCAGTGTTAAGACAGAGCAGGTGAAGCACTTCATTCACTGGCCAGCAGGTGTCTCTATAGAGGTCCTTGCCTCCCACCTGTCCTGTGTCAAGGGCTTGAATCTGCTGCACTCAAGGAGTTCTAAGGCTCTTCTGCAACACTGAGAGTGGCCATGAGTTCCACCTCACCTCAGTTCAGCTCCTCACTTCAGAGCCTTGGCAGAGAGTAATGAATGATAGCCTGACACCACCCCTCGCCCCGGTCTTGGACTCTCCTAAGGCCCAGGCATCAAAAGTCTACTTTGTAGGAGCTGGAAAGAGCTTTAGGCTTCAGATGCTACATGGACAAAGGCACCAGTGCCAGTTTGAGTAAAGAGGATCTGAGGATCTGAGATCTATCTGGCTTCAGGAAATCTGCCTAGGGAGGGTTTGCTGTGAAAAGGTAAATGTTGGTGGCTTGTGTTCTCATGGGACATGATGGCGGGGCCAGTAATCTAGAGGTACATGGAAGAGACAGTGAAGTCCATCAAGCTACTTCTGTCCTCTCCCCCAGCTTCTGCCACTTCTCTGCATCTACCCTGCCTCCATCACTCTGTCCACCCTCCCACTCAACCAGTTTCATCCCCTGAGCCATTGGCCTAACCATACCCACCATCTATCCCAGGCAGCACTGTCCTCCGCATGGCCAGGACCAGGCCCAGGGGTGAGCCAAAGAGGAAGAAGTCAGACACGTCAAAGTCAAAGCGACCCAGGCTGACCTCAGAGACCTGGGGTGTCCCAGCTGCAGGAACCTCGGCCTCATCCTTCAGCACACTGGAGTGGATGCTACCAGAGGGAGGAATGGCAGATCAGAGGAGTGCCAGGACCGTGGGAGTGTGCCCTCAGCAGCATAGCTGCATTCTGAGAGCAGGGTACCCAACCCTCTATCACTGGAATGGGACTCAGAACCAGAGATCATGTTGACATCATCCACACAGCATTAGCCACATTTAGCTGCAGCAGAGTTCAGCAAACATTTTCTGCACAGGGCCAGGTGGTGAGTCTGGAAGACTGTGGGTCACCTGCATCCACTGCCTGGACTTATTCTGCCATGTCAGATAGCCGCAGACCATGTTTAAGCAATCTGTGTAGCTGGGATCTGCCACACTTTTCTTATGAAACCTGGCAGACCACTTGGGAGTATCTGAACACCCTGCACAGACAGGCCTGGCTCTTCATGGTGTTTGCAAACAACCACCCTGAAAGCCCCTGCACTTTCCACAGGAGGAGCCCATCCTGGCCAGCACAGGGCTCAGCTGGCTGCTGCTGGCACTGTCAGCACCAGGGTTTTTACCATAACTCATGCTCCAGGCAACAGGCAGACAAAGGTGCAAACATCCTGGACAGATGCCTGAGAGCAGGATCCCACACTTTCATCCCAAGAGCCCAGTGTTCCCCGGGGTTGTGTTTAGCCGTAGATGCCAAGCTGGGCACTGAAGGTAAACAGAAGCCAAATCTGTCTCTCTGGCCTTCCAAAAGCACCAGGGACAGTACAGACAGAGATTAAACAGTACAGGGGAATGACATGATGTCTCATCCAACTTCTGAAAGCAACTCTATCTAAAATACTCAAGCTGGAGAAGAACCTTTCAAAGTAACAGTTAAAATGCTACAGGCAAGGGGTCCACCCTCAGGAGTGAGCCAGCATGCAGGCAAGGCACCTTCACGCTGCCTTCTGTTCCCTCAGCCAATGATGACAAAGTTTAGCCATGGTTCCTAAACATGTGCCAACTACTTAGTTACCAGAGAAACAGCCATCTGTTCCTGCACCACAACCCAATAACTGGCTGTGTTGGGCTAGCTACTGAAAGTGGCAGATATCTGGCACTTTTCAGATTTGGGCTTCCCTAAAGGATGTTTCAAGGATAAACCAAAAATGTTGAGCTTTTCACCTTGCAACCTTCCTTTGCACAGGGCCACTGTTCCAGAGGCTGATCTGATAGAGGCACCTTAACACTCAAAGCTTAACCCACAGAGCCTGCGACCTCCTATCCTGGCTTCCTGGAATCCAGCTGCAGGAAGTACAGAGGTCCCCACTCATCCACAAGAACATATATAAGACTTCAGTGTCAAGTGCCAAACCCTTTGTATATGGTGCTTTTTCCTATACTAAAGTACCTAGGATAAAGTTTAATTTGTACACTAGGCAATTAAGAGAACAATTAATAATAAAATGTACCAATTGTAACAATTTGATATAATAAAAGTTCCATAGGTGTCTCTTGTACTTTCACATTTTCTCTTAGAGAGGACACCCCACAGCTTCTCGTCATATCTGAATTGCCAGCATCCTCATTTACTCTTACGCCTTCAAAATATTACAAAGTAAAACAAGGGTCATGTGAACACAAGCACTGTGGTACGATGTCAGTGGATCTGATACCTGAGATGGTAGCCAAGTGATCATCAGGTTAGTAGCACACACAGAGTGGATACACTGGACAAAGGAATGATTCATGCCCAGAATAGGACAGCATGAGATCTTATCATGCTATTCTGTAGAGTGTACAACTTACAATTTAGAACTGATTTACTTCTGGAATTTTCTAGTTAATATTTTCAGACCAAGGATGGTCATAAGTAAGTGGAACCATATTACACAAAACCATGGACAAGGCAAGACTACTGTAAGTCTAGCATATACATTAATGTTCATGCATAAAGATCTCCAGCCTAGCGGCTAGAGGGATGGTTCCGTGGTCAAGAGCATTTGCACTCTTGCAGACAACTGGATTCCAGCACCCACCTTCAGGTAGCTCATGCAGCATCCAGTGATCTCTTCCAGACTATGCAGATACTTAAACATACATACACAGACACATATATACATAAGTAAAACTAAAAGTAATCATGTCCAATGTAGTGCACTGAACTGGAAGAACACAAAGTAGCCAATTAGTGGGATTAAGGAAGTAGTTGTTCACCCAATTTATATTGCATTAAGAATCTTTAGTAACTGGGCAGTGGTGGTGCACATCTTTAATCCCAGCACTCTGAAGGCAGAGGCAAGTAGATCTCTTGTGAGTTTGAGGCCAGCCTGGATTAAAAAGTGAGTTACAGGACAGCCAGAGTACTTACACAGAGAAACCTGTCTCAAATAAAAACAAACAAAAAAGAATCTTTACCAAGTATTTTTAGTTATATGGGGGAAAGGTCACAGTGTAAGAGGCCGGATTCTTTGTTTTTAAGTAAAACTATGTGTAAATTATGTTTTTAAAATACTCTTCTGATAACTCATGATACTTATTTCTTAGGGAGCAAGTGCTCATTTCTCTCAATCTGAATCAATGGTTCATTTAGCTGCTCATCAAGCATTTCCTCTCGAAAGTGAAAGGACAGTTTATGGAGTTTGTCACATCCAAGACACTGATGTGAGTACAGGAAGACAAGAATGCTGGCCCCAGATCTTTGGGACCCAGTGGTGTGACACTCTGAGAAACAATAAATATAAATCCCTGGGGTATTCCACCAAGTATGCTCCTATCTGTGGCCTCTCTGGAGAGGTAGAACAGATCATGCCCAGTGTCTGCAGGTTTGAACAGAGCAGAGATTAACAGGAAATGCTCTGGTGTGGGTGCAGGGCCAATGGAAAGTGGTTCCAGAATTTCCACTATCTATGGATTCCTGTTGAAGGGTCTGGGATGACTGCCTGGTCACAGGCCCCTTTGGCGACTCTGAGCCAAGGTCCTTACTCTCATGAATACTGTTATGCTGTAAAGGATTACCTTGAGAGGAAGGCGTGATGCTGGGTGATGGCCTCACAGTCATAGGTGGAGGAGGCACTCTGTTTCCGTGGCAATGGCCTCTTGGGCTCCTCATCCTCCACTCCACTGGATACATCAATGTTACTCTTGCTGAGACGCTTGCTGCTGGCCAGATCACAGTCCTCATCCTCAACCACAGCGGTGTCCTTGAGCAGAAAGCATAGTGATCATAGGGGTCTTGGGGCCCTGCCTCCTACCCTTCTTCCAAACATGTGGAAACTATGCTTCCAAAAGGCTCATGAGGGTGGGCGGTGGGGAGCAGGGTAGTAGGCACAGATCATCTCCTATAGCCACCAGGATAGACCATCCACGGAGACAAACACTAGTAGGCCTCCTCTGGGTCTGTTTCTTTCTTGGTCCATGCTAACATGCTCTTGCTATTTCCATATAACCCTTTGTACCATAGACACCATAACGCCAATATGAAAATCCAGCACTACCTTCCCTGGGAGAGCCACCTGCCCTTCTGTTCTTATGAGAGATACCCAGGGACACACCCTCTCCCATCCCCCAGCCTGACCACACCTGGGTACTGCTGATGCTCCCCTTCCGGCTGCTGCTGCCAGGGCTGTCCCCTGAGGGCCCCGCACTGTAGCAGATGGCATCAAAAGCCAGGAGGCCGCCCACACAGTCCCCGATGAGACACACCTGCAGAGACACAGCTGGGCTGCAGGCTTGCCTGCCACAACCCTCTCACCCGAAATCCAGTCAGAACAGGGGCATGTTCCCATGAGAGAATAAGGAATCTATCCTAAAGAGTTACTTAGACACAAATGGAGGGTAGGCTCATCCTGACAATAGATTTTCTTCAGAGTCAGCCTGAAGTGAGTGATCAGGCCATGCTTAGGGATCAGACTAACTAAGGGTCAGCATGAACTCCAAATCAGTGCAGTTTTTCTGTCTGTAAAACGGGGATACCCATTCCCCATCAAAAGCTCCCTTCAATCTCAGGTGCTACAATTCTATCCTGCAGCAGACCTCTGACACAGGGAGAAAGCAGGCTGTCCTACCTGCCCACTGAAGCCAATCCCATCTGAGGACTTGAGAAACTCTCCATAGATGTGGTTGGCCCGCTCGATGACAGTGGCAACAGCATTCTGGTACTGTGGAGAGGAGATGGCCAGCAGGGGAAGGGCAGCCAGGGGAACGTGATCCTGGCTGGTGCTGAGGCAGCCCTCGTCGTGGCTATAGGGGTTCAGGCTGCAGACATGGGGACCCAAAGTCAGCTTAGCCAGGACCAAGAAGTGTGTGGTGTGGGGCTCTAGCTCTTTGGAAGAACAGACATGCTGCCCGGATACTAGGCCCAGTTCCAGAAAAATGTTAAGGACACAGGATAGGTCCCATGAGGCAAAGCCCAAGCATGGGGTAGGAAGAAGAAGGATGAAGACTCAAGGCTGTGCTGACTCCTTATATGCAAGCCCATGCCAACCTGTTGTGTTGTGTCTGGCAGGAGCCTAAAAACACCCCAGTTCTAAAAGAACCTAGAACAGCATGGGAAAGTGGCATCATGGTAGCCCTCCTGGAGGAGGAAGGGGCTGAATTAGACCCTCAAGAAAGACTTTGGTGAAGCTGAGGAGGAGTGAGGGCACATCAATCATGGAGATGGGACAATGGCTCCAGTGTGAAGGTGGCACCTAGATGGCTATATGATGGTAAGTTCTATGTTCAGGGGGACAGATACTCTGCTTCAGTGGTTTTGCAGATGGCTTGGAGCCCGCCCTAAAGAACTCCACTCCCAGAGGACTGCATCCCTCCATCTCCTTACTAGGAAGTCCCACCCACCTATCTTCCCATCTCTACCTGGATTGCCTCTGTCCCCCAGCACACCCAACCCTGATGCTTTGTTGGGCTTGGCTTTTTAGAACACAGAAGAGTCCGAGAACTTCATACCCTGGGCCTAACAGCCTGTCCTTACCCTACATGCCTAGCTCCAGAGCCAATGGGGCTAAGGCCAAGAAGAATCTAGGGCAGGTGACAGGGCTTAGGCATCATCAGCAGGTGACAGAGTACTAGCACTGTGTAAAGCAGGCTCCACCAACCATTTCTCATCTCCAAAGAACACAAATTAGAGGAAACAGGCCTCGATTGCAGCCGGAGAGATTTTAATTAGTCGAGAAGGAGCTCCCTCCCAGCAGTGATTACTAGTGATTAATGGCCCAGGCAAAAGCTGCCTGGGGGGGGGGGAGAGGTAAGCTCCCTCCTGCTGTCCCCTCAGATGGCCTGGCCATCCATCTTCCTGGGGATAAGGATGACCCAGCTCTGGAGGTCAGCCTTCCCGGGGGTGGGTCTTGAGATGGATTGTAGACCAGCAAGATTAACTCTGGGACTACTGTGTGAGGGACCAGAGCCTGGCCACCCACTCTGCTGCTCCTAAATCCTGTAACAGAAAAGCAGCAGCAAGCCCTTGCCTAAGAAGCAGATTCTAGGGTACATCTTGCGTTTGACATAGGTCACATCAGATACTGGGGTAATTGGCAAAGCTAGGAAGCCATAGACCTAACCTGCTTGTATATCTGATAGAGACCCACCAGAGAGCATCCTGGGGAACCCAGGAAAACCAGCCTTGAGCACCATTCAGGGAGTGAGCAGGAAGGGGAATGGTCCAGCCCCTGTGAGATCCTGAGCCAGTGAAAGTGAAAGATGGAGCTCTTGGGCCTATCCCACACTGGAGCCCCTGGGCTCGGAGCCCCATCTGGCTGAAGCTAAGCACATGGCTCCCCTTCTCTTGGGACTTTAAGTTATGTTCCTGGAGGAGGGACTAGAAGGAGGGGCTTTCCAACGTCTGGGGGTGGAGGCAAGGGGTGCCAACAGCCCCCTTTCATCCCACCTGTAGGAAAGTCTGGCCTACCGGCTTCAGTCTCAATAGTTTGCTCAGTGTCAAGGCCATGTGGGCTCTGCACACAATTGTCTGACTATTTTGCAGACAATTGGAAAGAAAGCAGGTGCCCAACTAGCTCCAGGAACCTACCTTCAGCTATTTCAAAAGTGCCACTGAGGGCTCTAAGGCATTGGAGCCCTCGAGCCAGCATAATGAGTAGAATTTCCCCCTTTGAACCCAGTCCTGGTCTCTCAGTCTGCCCCACATTGGTCCCTACATCCACAATTATTAGAAGGATGTACTGGCACTTGCAGAAAGTGGCCTAGTGTTTAGCCTGTGATTCTGTCATACCTTTCCCTCCCTGATCCTATGAGTTGGATCTCAACTGTGAGCTAGGACAGGACCCTATCATCTTCATTCTCCACCAACAGGAAACAGGAAGATGTTAGTGCAATAGCCAGTGGCAGCCCAGCTCTGTATGGTCACATCCCATGAGCTGTGATGGATTTAGACCTACCCGCATACCAGCACTAGCTTCGCCTTCATCTTACAGAGAGAGAACTTAAGATAGGAAGAGGTGGCATAATTTCCCAAGGTCACACAGCCAGGACTCATGTCCAGGTTGACCAAAGAGGAAATACACTTAGCCACACTATGGCATTCAATCAACTCTCCTCTAGGAAGTCTTCCCTGGCTGAGTACCTTGGGCTACCTCCATTAGAGTACCTATCCCTATAGAGCTGGTCTCTGGAGTGAGGCTGCCTTGGTTTGACTTCTGGCTCCATTCTCTAGATAGCTGGGGGAAATGGATAAATCTCTCAGGGCCGGTTTCTTCTTTTATTCAAACTGAAGCACAGGAAGTGGTTCTGGGCTAGCGTGGGGACCCTGGCACTCCCAGGTCCCTGACAGAGGACTCTTAATGACCATATTCCACTAAAAATTCTCTCTGCAATTCTGACTTGACACCAGACAGGCCTCCCGAGGAAGAGGTATCCCCTCCACTTACACCTCCCACACCAAACCCAGACCATACAAATAAGCCAAAATGACTCACTTAGAGACGAGTGAGAAAGCCTCCGAGCAGATGGCAGGACAAGGGACAAATTTGATGAGGATGTGGCCCAGGGCAGCAGGGAAGTGGGCGCGCGTGACCTTCTCCAGCACAGAACTGAAGGTGTGAATGTCAGCTGCCTTACAGGAAGGGTCGCTAGAGCCGGTGTCTAGGACGTTGCCCCCATGCAGCACCAGCAGGAGGACATGTGTCTTGCAGGAACGCTGTGAGCAGCCTTCCTGAGAGGGACATGGCAGGGATAGAGACAGGCAGGCAGCAGGACCTCAGAATGCAAACGGACAGAGGCACAGGGACTATGGCTGACACTCCACGACCCCTGTAGGACTCTGGTGCATCCAGAAGGCTACCAGGAGGGCCAGACCCTCAATGGACAGCATAACAAGATGAGTCTCCAATGACTCTTCTTGTTCCTATAGGAGCCTGAAGCCCAGAGAAGAACAGGGAGCTACCCAAGGGTCAAAGCAAAGAAGAACTGGATGGAGGCTAAGGCAGCCTGTCTACTCTCCTATGGTTCTTCCTAAGATGCTGGCTACAGATGGACTGGATGCCTCCGAAACCCATCACACCTCGCCATCTTCATGGATCTCGATGCTTCCTTGGGCTGGGAATTTCTGTCTTCTAAGGGACACCCGATATAGTTCTCCTGCAGAGAGGACAGAAAAAAATGCAGCAGGCTCTGCACTAGAGCTCCTAGGTGTACTTGGCCACATAAGGGAGGCCCTGATTTATTGGGACAATGGAGTTATAGTCAGAAGCTAGGGAGGGTCACCCCATCCAGGCCAGTCTCTGGAGTATATGCCACACAAAATGGCTTTGCCCAGCTGAGGCCGGCCATCACAGACAAGACAAAATGTCCTGAGAAAGAGCTGCCCTGCTTACTTCACCAGTAATAGCAGCTGTGCTAGAGACCTATGACATCCAGGAACTTGATGCACACACCCCTTGAAAACAGCTGGAAAGCTGCTGTGCTTCGTGCCATCTAAGTGTGACCAGGCTAAGAAACGCCCGTGTCTCCTGGGTGTGCCTGTGAGGGTCTTCCAGGAGGGTTTAGCTCTAACCACAGAGGCCGAGTTGAGAAGATTCAGCCCCTGGGGTAGGCAGGCACCATCCCTCTGCTGAGATTTAAACAAAACAAAAGGGTTGAATGGTCACGGTGTCAGTCTTGGGATATCGTGGTTCTGGTCTCCACCTTCCAGCTGGAGCTGTAGACTACCTTGCAGCTCAGGCCTTTGGGCTATTTCACGGACTTTGGACAGAGGGCACATTATAGGGCTTCTCAGCCTTTACTGTTGTACAAGTGTAGCACTGATTAGAAAAATTCCATTTTTATTTTTGTCTTCCTGCTTTGGGGGGGAACTGTTGTTGCTGGATTTTCTTGTATTATGTTATTTATTTATTTTGTTTGTATATACATGCAGAGGACAACCAGAGCAGTCAGTTCTCTCCTTTGATCATGTGGGCCCCAGGGACTGAACTAGGGTGTCAGGTTTAATTGCAAGTGTCTTTATCTGCCAGATCATTTTACCAGCCTATTTGTGTTGTTTTGTTGTTGTTGCGTTATGTCTATGAGTGTTTTGCCTTAATGTGCCCCTGTTGTCCACAAAGGTGAGGATGGCACGGGTCATCAGACCCCCTGAGACTAGAGTTACAAAGGGTTGTGAGCCACCATGTGGGTGGTTGGTAAATTGAGCCCAGATCCTCTGCAAGAACAAATGCTTTTAACCGCTGTGTCAACTCTCCTCTAGTCCCAGCCTGCTTTAAAAAAAAAATAAATAACATAAAACAAAAACAAAATAAAGTATTTTTTAAAATGTCTGCTTGGACTGGTTAAACTGGTTTAATCAAAACTGGCTAAAGCTCTTAGTGAAATAGCAAGATTTTGAACTATAGGATCATGGTCCAGGAGAAGGTAAACACACAGAAAGGGAAAGCACCATGTGGCATGACACTTGGCATTTAGCAAGCACTTTGGGGTCACTTGGAAGTGCTTTTCTTACTCCTGTTAGCTGCCTTAATCCAATATCCACCCCCTAGGAAAGGCTTTGCAGGCCTCTAAGATCCCACTTCTCTAAGACAGGGGTCTCTAGCCAAGGGAAGAATCAGCCACTTGTTTTGTAAATAAAGTTTTCTTGGCACACAGACAGTTCATCCATTTATGAATCATGTATGGCTGCTGTCACACCACAGGCCTGATTTCAGTAGTAACAACCGACTCACAGCCCTCAAACCATAAGACATTTTTCTAGACTTTTCCAGAATCATGTGCCAATGCTTGGTCTAAGACCCATGCTCTGTGTTACAGCAGATCGAGTCAGACTCTCATATGGAAAGAGATCTCAGATATCCCACAGCCACACTTTACATAAACAATGTCCACCACCCCAAGAGTCCTTGTTTCATCCAGCCCCCTGTGCCACCTCTCCCTCCCGCAGGAGATAGATGTTATCGCCTGTGTGTGACTGAAACATGCAACTAACTATGAAGCACTTATTTGCCTCTGTTGATGGGAAACTCACATTCTCGCTCAGAAGTCTATTCTAGATGGGGATAACCCTCCTCAATGCCCGTCTCATCCCTGCAGAGTTAGTGGAGGTCCTTCTCATGACTCTGTAGGCATCCCTAGTAAACCTAGGTCTAGATCAAGATTCCTAAGCCTGGTCCTGGGAAAACAATCACAAAGAATTTTAGACAAGGAGTTGTTCTCAGCTGGGAAGATCAGTCCTGAACCATCCGGTCCTCAAGTCACAACCCTGGTCTAGAGGAAACTGCTTTGTGAGCTCTGAGCTGCTTCTGTATGCTTGAAAATTGTTTCCTGGGTGATGGAGCAGTATGGCTCTTACGAGGAGGAGACCAGGGCAAATGTTCCTGAGGCCTGGCTCTGCCTGCCACTTTTTCTAATTTCCCTGTCTGTGCATGCGTGTGTGTGTGTGTGTGTGTGTGTGTATGTGTAATATGTATGCATATACATATGCATAATGCCGAAGCCTACATATGGAGATTAGAAGACAGCCTCTGGCACCTTTTACTTTGTTTGAGACAGGATCACTTGCAAGCTTCTGAGAATTCCATCTCAGTTTCCCATCTTGCAGCAAGAACACTGGTATTATAGACACCTGGTCTATTGTGTCCAACTTCATGTGAGTTCTGGGGATTCAAACTCGGGTACTCACATTTGTATGGCAAGTGCTTTACTCACTCCTGCTTCCTATGGAAACAAGGTCTCCCTAAGTAGCCTAGGCTGGCATAGAATTCGCCATCCTCCTCGCCCCTGCCTTCTGGGTGCTGAGATTGAAGGCCAGTGCCATCCTCATCCCAGCCCTCCTGTCTTTTTCTAACTACAAAAGACCTGACCCTGAGCCTGAAGCGGGGTGGGGGTGGGGAGCAGGGGGGCTTAAATTCTGCACTCAGAACAGGATGACAGTAAAACAGGAATGGGCCTTAATGAGTCCTTATTAAGGGTTAACATGTGTCAACTCACCTCCCCCCACCTTCTTAGTTTAGATGGTTCTTATCCTTAACCCCATTTTACAGATGAGTAAACTCTAAAATATATAGTTTATACATCCCAGCCTTCTGGGCCAGCCATATAATAAATAAAGCCAAGGAATCCCCGCTAGAGGGCCCCACTTCCATAGAAGAGGGCACTCAGTCAGGCAGTGCTCCACCCTTCCAAGTTGCAGGCTATCCCTCCCTCTCTGCAAAAGCAAAATGCAGAGAGCATCTGATGAATTGAGTATGGGTCTGCTGCCCAAGTCCTCTTTCTACAACCATATGTCACTGGGGAAAGTGTCTGGGAAAGAAGCCAATGCCAACACAAAGTAAAAAGTAGTCTCGAGATGCATGTGGCCTCTTGAGCACGAATGTGCCTCCAGAACAGGTGCATGGAGGAATCCAGAGTGTCTTGGTTGATAGCAGGGGTGGGGCAGAGATAGATGGGACATCTCTACTTCTGAGACTGTGGTCTCCAAAACCATGGGCTTTGAAACCAAAAGGCCTGAATTCAAGCCATGTCATTTATCAGCTGTGTAACCTAAGCCTGTTTCCTCATCCAGAGTGCAGGGATGCCACAATGATAATATAACTCCCCTTATGGAGCAGCAAAGTGAGTTCCTATGGGTGACACCAGTGAAATGTGTTAGTTGCTATTGTTATTCGTATTATCCAGGGCGTAGGGGGTTGGGCATGGCTGACAAAAATGGGGTGGAGACTAATAGGGACATCACCGCCTCCATACTCCCTGCCCTGCCACCAAGTCCCTCCCTGAGCCCTGGCAGGCTCACCGACCTCACTGGGCTGGGTGCCTGCTTGCAGTGTGATTACAGGATTAAATGCTGTGATTGCCACAAATTACCATTTCCAGGCTATAAATAACTTGCAGGGAAGACATGAGGGTCCTGCTGTCTTCCGGGCACCATGCCCTCTGCTAGGTGGGGGCTAAATCCTGCATCTTCACTGGTGACACAGACCTAGGAGCTCCCACAGCCTCCATCTGCCTGATGTCAGCTCCCTGGAGCCCACACAATACTCATGGAATTGGTGGATGCACACGGCATCTTGGCTATAGATGATGCTGAAACCGTTCTCCTAATCAGTGGGGATGAGAGCTGAGAGCTAAAGACTGGGTAGGGGTATCTGCAACATCACTTCTCCCTGCCCCACCCCCCAACAGAAAGGAAGCATCTCATTCCTTCTGCAGTTTGGGGACAGAACCTTGCTTCCTTGGATGCACAGAACCATAGGTGGTGTGCTCTCAGTCATGGAAGTCAAGAGACCTTGCCAGGTGGATGCAGACTCCTCTGGTCCCTTGAGTGCTTCCTGTCAGGACCAGAGTCACCCACAGGATAGCAGAGGTGTCTGTGAACAAGCAGGAGAGCAGTCTTAAGACTACCCTGTCTGTCGATTGTACATATGTATGTCTGTACTCTACCCATAAGGCTTTGCTTTGTTGCTATTGTTGCTGTTGTTGTCGGGGCTGCTGTCTCAAAACTAGATGTTACTATGTATCCCAGGCTGGCTTCCAATCCTTGACAATCCTCCTGCCTCAGCCTTCTGCATACTGAGATTATAGGAAGGTAGCCCCACACCCACCAAAGCCTAGTTCTTTTAAGAACTTTGCACAATAATCAAGATGACTGGGGTTCTCCCACAAGACAGAACTCTTCTGTTCCTGGTCACCTTTGCTTATGCCAAGTTGGTGCCTACAAGTGTTTCTTCCCTTTGCAAACTAGAAAATGCATGTGTGTTCTGCCAAACCTTATTCAGTAGCCACTCCTTCTGGAAAGTCTGTTGCGATCTACCTAAACCAGGATGTTACCTCACATGCAGAATAGGGCATGGCCTGCTATTATAGGATTATTTTATTTTCCTCCAACTAGGAACCTCGTAAAAGCAGAAATTACCAGCTCTCTGGGTCTGGCATTTTTGTAAAAGCTGGTTAGAAGTGATGATCCCATGCCTCACCCAGTCTTGATGCAGGAGGGGAGTATAGCTTGGTTCTGCCTCAACTTGATATTGTCATGCTTTGTTGGCTCCCATGAGAGGCCTTACAATTTCTGAATGGAGATAGAAGAAAAAATATTGATGGGGTTGGGGGTTGTAGAAGGGAGATGGGGGGTGGGGAGTAACAGGAGGAGAGGAGGAAGG